TTAGTGTTTGGCCCATATGTGGTGGCACTCAGGTCTCACTCCTGACAGGCTCTAGGGACCATATAAGATGTCAGGGATTGAACCTGGGTTAGCACCTGTAAGGAAAGCGCCCTACCTCTGTACCTCTGTTCCAGCCCCTCAAATACTTATTTCTTTTAGGGACAAAAGATTGGACCAGAAAGATAGTACAGGGTAATTAAGGTACTTGCGTTCATGTAACCGACCTCAGTTCAATCCTCAGCACTATACATGGTCCCCTGAACAGAGCCAGAAGTAGGCTCTGAGCACCTGGCGAATAACAAAAAGAGACCAAAGACTAGGGCAAATCGGGCATTGAAGCAACCCCTAGTAAAGGGTGAGTGCAGGCTGGCACCCTGTGGGGGTCACCCACACCTGGAGAGTTCCAGGATCAGTGCTTTCACAGTTCAGGACTTCTCTGTCCAGAGTCTCAAAGATAATTACAGAGTTTCCCTCTTTCAAGTATGTCTTGTGAAGTAAGAGGAACCCGTGTTGCTTGTCTTCGTTTAATTAGCCACTTTCCAGTCATGTACGCAGAATTATCTGTTATTTTTTCCACCACTCTGGGGGGCCATCTCCATTTAGCCATTCTTACTTGGGAGGACACATCAGTGTTTCTGGGGGAGTTTGTTCTTGACCCGGCACTAGGGAGCCACCATGGGGTCTGGGGATTGAGTCGAGATCTAGCACACAGGACAAAAGCTCTGAGCCATCTTCAAGGGCCCTGCCGTTTTATTTAAATCTTTGAAAGTCACCAGTGTCTGTTGATGGTCATGAGGAAGGACGAGAAAGGAAGGTCCAACCACAGGTAGACGAGAGCAGGGCAGCGCCAGGAGGGGGCCACAGGTCACTTGGCCCACAGTCCCAGGAAAGGCACAGGCGTAGCACCTTGTGGGAGAGAAACACTTGGCAGGTGATGGCCGCGTGGGTGGCCTCCTGGCTGCAGACCCAAGGCAGGATTCATCAGATCACTTTAGTCAGTTCCTGCCAGTCACACCTCAACCAAACCATCGAGGAGAACTGCTAGCCAGATATCTCTCAGTCGCAATCTTGAAAACCAGATTACAATTCCAGGCTCAGGAAGCAGCCTCCATTCTGGGTCCAGATCACCCATTCCCATTTAGAGAGCACAGAGCCACACACGCTCGTGTTTTCTGAGATTTTATTCAGTGGGGAAGGAACTTTTTCCCCTCACCTTTAAATTTAGTAAAGTACATTTCTTAGAGTAAAAATAGAAAGTGCGTTTATAAGGTACAATTTAATTCCTTCTGACTCAGCCAAGGCTGGACGGTTCCCTTGCTTTCACCTCTCACTCTGCTGCACCTGCTCCAGCCACTGCAGGGTGACCAGCTTCTCCAGACCAGCCTTGGGGTCCTATATGCCAACACACCAGCCCCAATGGAGCGGTCTCCGAGCAGACCCCAAGAGGTCACACAGGGCCACTGACCTTCCTTCTGAGCCTCAAGGCTTATCTTCCAAACATGAGCAGCTCTAACCCACAAGATTCCCCTGCCGCTGAACCCAACTAATCCAAATTTAATGTGCAGGAAGGAGACTGACGTTTATCCTGGCCAGGACATGGAACGTGGCAGAGCCTAGCATTTGTGAGGTCTGGGGTTCTATCTCCAATGCTAGGGGGAAAAATTACTTGTGATTTTCTGGCAAACGTGTCTTTGAGTCGGCAGGGTAGGAAACCAAAACGGGTGATGCTCAGGGGTTATTTCTGGCTCTGTGCTCAGAAGTGGCCCCTGGCAGTGCTGGGGCACCATGTATGGATGGAACCAGGTCACTGCAGGCAAGACAAGCCCCCTGCTTGCTGTTATATCTCTCCAGAACCCCCCTTTTTATTTATTTTGGTTTTGGGTCACACCCAGCGGTGCTCAGGGATCACCCCGGAAGGGGTTCAGGAAGCCATATGGGATTCTTGTGTCTGCTGCGCAAACCTTACCTGCTATAGGATCTCTCCAGTCCCTCCCCTTCATTTTACTGGCTGCACTGAGAGGTCTACGCAGGGCTGGGCCAGGAATTAGGGACCTCATATGTGCAAGACATGCTCTACCACTCGCATCACTCCAGCCCCCCAAGCCTTGCGGGTTTTGACGACTGCCTTATGAGAGCCATAAGTCCGAGCATCTTTTTTGCATGTTTTTGTTTTGGGGCCTCCCCTAGTGGTGCTTGGAGACTATTTCTGGTTCTGTGCTCAGGAATGACCCCTTCTGGTGCTGCTGGGGATCTGAAACCGCATCTGCAGCAGCAGTCACACACTAGGCAAGTGCCTTCTTCCTGTACTAGCTCTTCTGCCCTGAAAATGTCCTTCAGTGAATTTGGAGTGAATCAGGACCAGCTTGGGGTTTTCTAGAAGCAGCCCCTCCCATGCCCAGGGCTGTGCGGGCTGCCATCAGCCTTGAACCTTCTTCATTGAACTTTCGTCCTATAGGGAGTGAATCTGTGCCTTTCTTCACATTGGAGCAAGGCCTGCCCACGGGAACGTGGCTGAGGAGCCTGGGAGGGCAGTTCACAGCCTCAGGAACCACACCCTCCTGCTGAGAGAGCCAGCCCCCTCCCACACACACATATCTTCCCTCTGTGACGGAGCGGCCGGAGGCACATCACGCAGAACCCAGCTGAGGACAGTGTGGGGCGCCCTCAGGAGCCCCTCAGCTCTCGGCCACTTGCACATCTGTAGCACAGCTGGGTATGGCCATGTGCCATCTGGAGGGCAGCTGGGAGAAGCTGGGGTGACCCACGGGAGTTCCAAGGACATGAGGGTCAGAGGGGAGAGGCACATCTGCTGGCCCTCAGCTTGTCCAGGCTCCTGAGGTCTGCTGACCCCTCCCAGCCAACCAGCGAGATGGGAGGCCTGGGGGTCAGGTCCCAGAGAGATGCCCTCCACCCTCCGTTTTCCTCCCTGATGATCCTCTGCCAGGGGTACACAAGCGCAGCAGGAAAGGGTACTAAGACAGGCATCAAGGACAGGACACAGGACAGAGAGACTTAGCATCGCCACCAGCCCGGAAGGGGTCGGGCTGGCCCCTCCCACCAGCCCTCCTGGCAGCCAGCAGAGCGCCAGGTTGCCATGGCAGCAGGAGTCAGCAGGCTCCCCAGAATTAGCGGTTTATTTTAAGGCGACTAAGACTCTCCTTACCATCTGAGTGTGCGCTGCATCTCAGGGAGATCAGGGGCGGCCTGTGTGGGCGCCCCTGTCCCAGGCAAGGCTGGCCTATGGGGGCAGATGGAGCCACTTCCTCCTCTGCTTCCTCAGCACCACCTCAAAGACCATCTGCCCGCCTGCTGCTGGGCTGACGCCTGCAAACTCGCCTCCAGGACAAGGTGCACCAGAAAAGTGCTGACGGAGCGCCCTCTGGTGGCAGGGACTAAGAGCACGGGAAGGGCTTCCTCTGGTGGTGGGGACCAGGAGCGCAGGAGGGCGCAGGCAGGGCGCCCTCCGGTGGCAGCCCCGGGACCGGGAGCGCAGGAAGGGCGCGGGCAGGGCGCCCTCCGGTGGTGGAGACTGGGAGTACAAGAATGCCGGGGCAGGGCGCTCCCCAGTCACTGGGACTGGGAGCACCAGAAAGGCGAGGGCAGGGCACACTCCAGTCACGGGGACTGGGAGCACGGGAAAAGCCAGGGCCGGGCACCCTCCAGTGGTGGAGACCAGAAGCACAGGGAGGGCACAGGCAGGGCGCCCTTTGGTGGTGGGGGACTGAAAGCACGGGAAAGGCAAGGGTAGGGCGCCCTCTAGAGGTGAGAACTGGGAGTACAAAGGCAGGTGGGGCGCCCTCCAGTGGCGGGGACTGGGAATATAGGAAATGCGTGGGCAGGGCACCCTCCAGTGGTGGCCCCAGGACTAGAAGTACAGGAAGGGTGAAGGCAGAGTGCCTTCTAGCGGCAGCCCTGAGATGTCCTACTATCCCAGCCTTACCCTGGGAAGCAGAGGAAAGGAGCAGCTTTTACTTTTGGTTGTTTGGGGGCCGTATGCAGAGGTGCCTAGGAACTACTCCTGTAAACTTGGAGCTCACTCCCAGTGAGGCTGGGGAACTATGTAGAAGTCAGGACTCAGTCCTCTGCATCATCCCCCAGGTCCAAGACGCCTCCTGACAGGGGTGGGGGCTTCAGCCATGGGAGGTGCCTCTCCACACCCTACAGAACTTTCAAGAGAACAGCTTTGGGGATCAGGCTCTGGTTCAGAGTCGGGGGCCACCTGCTCCAGCATAGGGTCCTGCATGCAAGCAAAGGGCCTTGGATATGTCCAGGACCCCTCCTGGATGAGGCTCGGCCAAGAGCCTGCTGTGAAACAGGCACAGCTGTTTCCAGGGGAACAGTTACGTGTACCTCAAGGTGCAGCCTGGAAGCAGAGCTGGAGGGGGCTCTAGGACCTGCCTCAGGGGTACTCCTCAGGATGCTCTGAAAGAGCCCCAGATCTTGGCAGAGGCCTGGTTGCAATTCTGAGAAGGGGATTCACCACAGCCAGTTGACACCGCCAGGAATCCACTCCATGGTCAGCAGAACACGGGCTTTGGGCCCCGCAGCGGGTGCCCAAACAGTTCACCACACAGCAGTGGACCCACAAAGTGGAAACAATGACAGCCATCATTTAACAAGCAGTTAACTCCATCAAACTGCTGTTTCAGGGTTGCTTGGGGACTCTGGTCAGGCCCACTCAGGGCAAGTCGTCTCTGGGACTTGGTCCACCCGCATTTTCAAGCATTTTGTGTTTCCTTTGAAAACCTTTCTGAAGTTCCTGAGCGGCTGTTTTCACAATAGAAGTTAAGAAGCCAAGGAGATGCACTTTCTGGGACGCTCCCAGGCACTGTGCACATGTGGAGGGTGTGGGAGAGAGGTGGCACCATTAGGACTATCCCTGGGTGGGGGAGCAGAAGCCCCCAGGCCTGGCAGAAACTCAACACTGGGCAGCCCCTTGGGCCACCCACTGTGTGCCAGCAGGGAGTCCAGGCACCCTGACTGCATCCTGTCACCTGGGGTTCTGCATTTGTTATTTTTATTGGACCACAATCAGCAGTGTTCAGGGGCAACTCCCAGCTCTGTGCTCAGGGGATGAGAAATCGAAAATCTTCCACGTGTAAATCATGTGTTGAACCCAGTGAGCCCAGAAGATAAGCTGGTATGGGCAGGTGGGCGGGGTGGGGTGAGAGGTTCAGGGGCAGCAGGCTGTGGCCAGACTCCGTGGGCAGGCGGTAGCTGCTGCCCCCTGTGAGCGTCCACCTGCTGCTCTGCACCTGCGGAATATGACCGAGACCACAGTCACTCAAAGTGACCAGAGAATTTAAGGGAACCAGCACCAGCTTCCTGCACACCTGGGGTGGTTCTATGACCTCAGGCATCCCAAGTGGTAGGATGTATGCAGGGATGGGGCAGTGCAGGGGAGGGAAGGCCAAGGAGGGGGCAGAGCTGGTCAGGGCAGAACAGAGTGGGGCAGGGGAGGGCTGGGCAGGCAGAACATTGGACAGCTCAGCACTGGGCCCAGGAAGTGGCCCTCCCCTAGGTCCCCTTCATGACCAACAGACCCACCTGGGGGAAACAAAGGTACAGGGAAGCCCCCCTCCCTGAAACTCTCCCAGTGTAGCAGGTGCCATGAGCTCAGGATCGCTCCAGCACACCCACCCTGCAGACAGGCGCGGAGCCAACCAGTCCTATGGGGGCTGACTCACCCTGGCCCCCGGCACTATCCACCATCCGCCTTCCCTACTTTGCCCTTATGGCCGGGGTCTGTTGGACAAAGGGAAGTTCCCAGAGGCCAAGGGTCACATGCAGGGGCCTTAGCCTGGGCTGCGGGGTGAGTTCCAAGGACACAGGAAAGCCCACAAGATGGAAACAGCGGCTCACCTAGAGCTTAGCGGAGGACACGTGGGCGAGGCGGCCGATGTCGTTCGGGAACGTCAGCCAGGAGCCACCATCCACCACCAGCACAGTCCCCGTCACATAGGAAGCCAGTGGGCTGGCCAGGAAGAGGGCGCAGTGGGCCACCTCCGTCTTGTTCCCCAGCCTCTGCAGGGGGCTGGCCTGAGCCCTCATAGCTGCGCTGGCCCCCGGGCCACCTGATAGAGGACCCAAAGCTCAGGGACTCTCCCCTGCCCGTTCCCGAAATCCACCCCTGGAGTGCCAGGGCACGTCACACCAGGCAGGGCTAATAGAGGGTGGCAGACAGAGGCTCCAGGTGGCACCCCTGGGCCTCAGCTGGTACTCCGGGGTCTGACTCCCACATGGGGCAGGCAGCCTTGTGGCCACACCCTCCCCGAGGGCAGCAGCCTTGTCTGGCTGACCCTAGGCATGTGCAAATCTGGCCTGACCTTGACCCATCCTGGGACAGTCATTGACTCTACTGGCACCTGTCCCAGGCTAGTGGGTCTGTGCAGTGACCTGAAGACAAGATGATGCCAGTAGGAGGGAACCTGGGAACACTGAGCCCAGGGGAGCCTGCAGGTGCCCGCGCGCCCAGAGCCTTACCCAGCCGCCGGAATCCCTCTGTACCACTGATGGGGCCAGGGGCCAGGCTGTTGACGCGGATGTTCTGGGGCCCCCATTCCACCGCCAAGTGCCGGGTCATTGCATCTACAAAGCGGGCGGGCAGCATGAGGGAGGGACAGCACCACTGCCCCCTGGGGTGTGGGTGCCAGTTGGGGGGGGCTCTTCTGATCCCCCTCAGTGGCTCTCAGGGGGCAGTGGGAGAGGTGCGAGGGAAGACCCGCTTACCCACAGCCGCCTTGGCAGAGCCCGCGTGTGTCTGCAGCACCTGACCCCGGGCGCCGAGGGTTGCAGTGATGTTCACAATCACCCCTCCATGGTCCTGCAACACAGCAGCCATAAGCAGGAGGCAGGCGTTGGGGGTCCCTGCCCCGCAGGACACTCACCCGCAAGAACTTCTCATAGAGCACGCGAGACACATTGAAGGTGCCCAAAGTGTCGATGTCCAGCACAGTCTTGAAGGCATTGAAGGACAAGGCACTGGCAGGACAGAGGAAGTTCCCAGCCGCAGCTGCAGGGAAGAGGCAGCAGTCAGTGCTGGTGCCTGGGAGGCTGGGCGCCAGGGGACTGGCGGGCAGGAAGGAGCTGAGGATTTCCTAGAATTCCTGCATGCTGGGGGCAGGGCAGCTGCTGGCAGAGAACTGGGATGGTCACAAAGTGGTGAAACACCCATGGGTTGTAAAGGGTCAGGAGGGAAAAGTGTGGACATGGGGCTGTGAGGGGTCAGGATGGTGACAGAGTTGTGAGATTGGTTAGCCTCAGGAAACAGTTGCCAGGTGGAATGAACCCACCAACCCAGATGTTGAACTATGTGACAGCATTAGTGGAGCAACTGAAACCAAAGCAGTTTTGGGGCCCACATGGTAGGGAGTTTGCCTTGCATGAGGCCAACCTGGGTTCCATCTCTTGTATCCCATATAGTCCCTTGAGCACTGCCAGGAGTAATTCCTGAGCATCGTAGGTTTCTTTTTCCTTAAGTGTTTATGCCACAACCGGTGCTGTTCAGTGGCTACTCCTGGCTGGCTGCAGGGGAACCAGCTGGGAATCCAGCCTGGGCCTCCCATCGCAACACAGTGATCAGCCTATAGAGCTGTTAGGGACTGTGAGCACATGAACCGCTCCTGACCTGACTCCGCCCCAGCTAGACAGACCAAGAAGAGCTGGGCCTCAGCCTTGGGTGCTGGAACAGACACCAAGCATGGCTGCAGACACACTGTCCCCCATACTGGGTACTGCTGAGCCTGCTGGCCAGGCCCTGGCCTCACAAAACTGCCACTCACAGTTAACCAGAATGTCGATTTTCCCAAATTCCTTCAGGGCCTGGTCCACTGCGGCTATGATGGCCGGGGGGCTTCGCACATCCAGAGATAAAGGGAGGCACCGCTGGCCTGTGGCAGCAGTCAGCTTCTGGGCAGCCTAGAAGCCACACAGAAGACAGGTGGGCAGCAGCATGGTGGTCTCAGCCTGCCGGGAGCTGGTGGGAGGACTTGTCCAGTGGCTGTGGAGAAGGCTTGGCCATGGCCCCTGCTCCAGATGGTCACTCCTCAGACCACGGCCCCTGTGGGCATTCCTAAGACATCCCACACATGCCCCCAGCCAGGGTCCCTGTGACACTTCTGGCTGCAGGGCACAGCTTCTGCTGACTGGCCAGCTGCAGCTTAGAGGCATGGCTGCCCCTAAGAGGCATGATGTAAGGAGGAGAGGGTTCAGCATCACCACCTGCTGGGCCCAAAACCCTCCAGGCCTAGACTTGGGCCTCCCACAGCCATGCTATGCAGGTGGGCCCCACGCGTCCCTCACCGCTGTCACTCTCGGAAGGCTTCTGCTGACGATGACTGTGTGGCAGCCGTGCCTGTCAAGCCAGGGTTATGTGTGAGGCAGACACCCTGGGGCACCCCCCACCCACTGCACTGAGCAGATTCTCCCCCCCCCCCCACCTTGGGGGAAGTGCAGCCCAGGCAGCAGGCACTGTCCAGTGCTGGGGTTCAGGCCTGTGGTGTGGGTGCAAGCTACAGGGCTTGCCCTGAGCCTCCAGCCCCCAGGCTGAGTAGTGTCCTGGTGCTCTGGGCCACACGTGACCTCCTGGCCTGTAGGGCGCGCGCATACACACACACACACACACACACACACAGAGCCAGGCTGGGGAGGGAGAGAAGGGGGCTCACCGCATGAAAATCTCAGCTATACGGAAGCCGATGCCGGAGCCCCCGCCTGTGATGAAGGCCACTTTGTCCCTGGAGAAGGAAACAAGTGAGATTCTGGTTAAGGAACGGCCACTCCGCCAAACTCCGGATGGGGACAGGGAGCTTCGGCGACACGGGCGATCAAGACTACACGGCTTCCTGCGTCTTCTGCAAAGATCGCGTCCACCCGAGACTCCGACACACACAAGGCGCTCCGGGCGCCAAGGTCAGGCTCCGGGCACCAGCGGCGCGCGGCCTCCTGCAGAGCACCGTCCCCGGGCCGCCTGCTGCGGGCTCACCGGAGCAGCTCGGGGCTGAAGAGGTGGCGGTACTCAGGCAGACAGTCGTCCTCGTCGACGTCAGGGGGCAGCTGGGCCATGGCGAGCGTTGCGGGCCGGGGTGCAGAGGGCAGCGGGGACTGGAGCGCCGCTCGCAGCAGCCTGAGCTCCGGGACGCGCTCTCGCCTCCTGCACCCACCAGAGACCGGACGTCCCGCCCCGCGGCCCCGCCCCTCGAGCCCCGCCCCCTCATCTGGGCCCTTCAGGACTCCCGCCCCAAAGGCCCCGCCCCCGGCGGCCTAATCCCTCTCGAGGCCCCGCCCCTCCGGCGCGCGGCTTGCTGGGACTGAAAGTCTGGGGCCTGGGTCTGAGAGGTGCGCAGGCGCAGTGCCCTGCGGCTCAAACGGGGCGCGCAGGCGCAGTGGGGCGGAGCCAGCGTCCAAGGCTGTTTCTTCGGGCATAGGAACCAATCTTGGGTCATGGTCAGAGATAACCCGAGACAGGACACTCGGCTCCTCGACTGCGGCCTGGCTTGGGGGTCGGGCCAGTACCTTTCAGCCTCCTCAGCCGTGCCTTTTATTTTCACTTGGCGTGCACCCGGTGGTGCTAAGGAATTACTCCAGGCAGGACTAGGGGCCATATGTGATACCAGGGATAGAACCCGGGGCCCAGGCGACCAAAGCAAGCGCCCTACGTGCACTGTCACTCCACCCCTGAACTGTGCATTTTATGTCTTTTGGCTTTGGCAACACCCAGCGACGCTCGGGGAGTTACTCTTGACTGCAGTCTGGAATCTCTGCTGGCGGTGCTCAGGAGACAAGAGAATGCCCGGGATCGAATCCGGGTCGGTCACGTGCAAGACGAGCACTTTATCCGCTGTCCTAGCTCTCCAGCCCACAGCTGTGCATTTCAGACATCTAATAATCATCCCAGATGCTGTCTATGGTCCCCTGAGCAATACCAGGGGTCACGCCAATGCTCAGAGCAGGGAATAGTCCGTGAGCACCAGGAGGTGCGCCCCCACCCCAAATAAAAATAGAGGGGGGAGGGGACTCAGTCCATTTGCCTTGCCTGGGTTTGGGGGGACAGATGGACGGGTTACATGCCCTTCCCCAGCATTGCCAGGAGCAGTCCTGGCACACACACACACACACACACACACACACACCACCAACCTCCAAACACCAGTGGCACCCATGAACCCCACAACAATAGCTAAAAAATAAATAAAGTTCCTGGTTGTGTAGGAGACCTGGTATTGGAGGTAAGGGGCTTTTCTTGTATGTGGCAGATCCTGGTTCCATCTCTGACAACAGATACGGTTCTGAAAACCCCTAGGAGTGACCCCCGACCACCACTGGGTGTCAGTGCTAGTATACAAAGCAGTACATAGCAGTACTAGTATAGCATCGCTAGTATACATACTCAGCAGTAGAACACTTGCCCTGGTTGTGTGAGAACTTCAGTTCCATTTTCTGCACTGGGAGGGATGCTGTTGGTCCAGATACCTGGAGTCTAGGTTCTGTATGATGCCCAGTTTGATCCCCTGACACCACCTGATCCTTGGGCACCAATGGGAGTGACCCCTGAGCATAGAGCTATGGGTAGCCAAAATTTTTTTCCCTTCAGGGGCCACACCCAGTGGTGCTCAGGGATCACTCTTGATGGGGCTCAGGGATCAGAAGGAGTGCTGGGGATGAAACCCAGGTCAGCTATCTGCAAGGCAAACATCTGCTGTACTATCTATGAGTCTAGCACTTTCTTCATAGTTTTAGTTTTATTCTCAACAGCTGACCCTGGGATTCATTGGAATTTGCTTTAAGACTGGAATTTGCTTTAAGAGGGGACCTACATCCCCTCTTTGCACTGGCTCTCCCCCAGGAAGCTCAGGAGAGGGACCCAGTAATACTGACTAGGGTGGGAGGATCCAGGGTCTATCTAGTTCAGGGCTTCCCACCTATTCCCAGGAGAATACCCACTGAAGAGTGGTTATTTCCTGTTGCTCACTCCTCTGATAGGAAACCCAGAGCACGGTCAGGAGAGGACCTGTCACTAAGGACAGCCCTGTTCAGCAGGATGTCCGGCATACTCTGGGCATAGCATATGTGCTGTATCCTGAGAGGGGTGGGCTGGCAGCAGCCAGGGCTCTGTGCCTGGGCCCCACTCATCCTGAGGCTGATCCCAGCCCCCTACTGGTGCCACTAGGGAGTGGCCAGTAGGACCTTTTTGCCCTCACCTGGGGGTTAGGAAAAAGAGAATGCCTGGTGAAGGCAAGGGGAAAATGAGGTGGTGATTACAGGAGGTCCAGGAGACTTGGGCTTGGTGCTGTGGAAACATGAAGTGGGGAGGGACAGGCTTGGAGGCTCTGTGGGTGGTGGGGAGTCCAGGGCAGGGGGTGAGCCAGTCCCTCTGCAGAACAGAGAAAGTTGTCCTGGGTGCTGCAGGGGGCATTTCCCCAGGGGCCATCTGATGACAGTGACCAATATCTGGTGCCCATCAGCCACCAGTGGCATGGAGGCCTGAGGGCTCATGTCTCCTGTACCTGATGGCACTCAAGCTTTCCCAGTCTCTCCCATGCCTGAGGGCAGTCAGCATCTGCCAGTGTCTTCTGTACCTGAGGGCTCCTCCTCTTTAGTGTCTGAGGGCTCATCTCTCTAGTACCTGAGGTCTCGGTCTCTACAGAACCTGGAGGCTCTTCTCTCTCTTACCTGAGGGTTCAGCCTCTCCCATGAAAGGTCTGGGAACAGGTTTGTGAAGAGGAAGAAACAGACCAAAAAGAGTCAGGTTGAAAGGGGATTTATTGGAAGAAGGAAAGAGTGCTCCAGGGAGAGGTTCACTAAAGAGGCCAGTGAAGTTGCGCCCATTGTGGTGCTGCATGGGCATCTTATAGGGCGATTTTGCTATCGTGAGATGGGCAGAATGGGATGAGGGAGTAAGAGCTTCTGCGCAAGCTGTTCCCAGATAGAAGCTTCTGGGAAAGTTGTTGCCAGATAAGAGTTTCTGGGTAAATTCTAGGAATTCTAAGGAATGAAAGAATCTCTAGGTGGTTTCCTGAGCCTTGCCTGCAGATGCTCGCCAGCAGGCCCTTCTACCCTGAGCCCCTGCACTGACCCCACACTCCATCTCTGGTACCCGAGGGCTCATCTCTCCCATACCTGAGGGCTCATCTCTCCTGTACCTAAGGGATCTTTTCTCCAATACCTGAAGGCTCAGTCTTTCACACCTGAGGACTCTGTCCCTCCAGTACCTGAGGGCTTGATCTCTCTAGTTCCCGAGGGTTCATCTCTCCCTTACCTGAGGGCTCATCTCTGTATCTGAGGACTCCATCTTTCTAGCACCTAGGACTCTGTCCCTCTAGTATCTCATCTCTCCCTTACCTGAGGGCTCCTCTCTCCATACCTGGGGGCTCTCCTGTGCCTGGGTAATTAGGTTTAGGGACTTTGGAAGGCTGCCTCATAGTTCACAATCTATCTCTCTTGTGTGATCAAACAGTACCACAGGGCAGCTTTGCTTGTGGGAGCCCCAGGTTCCCAGAGCACTGCTGGGGGCAAGTCCCAAGTACCCAATCCAGCAGGGTATGCCCCGCCCCCATCAAATCAAACCAACTCTCTCTGACCTTTGCATAACCATATGAGAAGTGAAAAAGATTAGAAGCTCGCCGGGCTTTCCCATTTCCCCCAGTGACGACCCTTAACCCTTTCCAGGAAGCTCCAGGGTTTGCCGGAGATGGTGTTGCTTACATTTGGATTGACTGCTTTATTACTCATCCCTCGTCCTGACGTCAGCCCCGCGGGATGGACTCAATTTCCTTCTTGGTTGGTGGCGAGTGTTAGGACTTTGCTCGCAGAGATCCCGCTCTGCAGAAAGCTCACAAGCTGCCCTGGTTGAGTTTCTCCTGCTGCCGAGTCTCCGTGATAAAGTGTCCGTCCAAGCTTGCTTCCCGCGCCCGACCGGTTCCTTCCCACCCTTAAACCCGGCGCCGCATGACGCGCCGCCCCCAGCCCGCCGAGCCCCAGCTCCAGGGTCGCGAAACCTCGGGTGCCAGGGCTTGTCCATCCTCCAGGGAGAGGGCCTCCCGCGGGGAGCTGTCCGGGCCGCGAGGCCGGCGGGCGGACCCCAGGCCCTCGCTACCGCCCGCTCGGAGCCCAGCGCCTCCCGGCGTCCCCCTGCCCGGTCCCCCGTCCCCGCCGCGCCCCACCACGCCCCTGCGCGCCCCGCGCCCATTGTGCGCCCCGCGCGGCGCCGGGCTGCGGGCGGGGCGGGGCCTGCGGGCGGAAGTGCCCGGGGCGCCGCTGGCCGCGATGGGTGCCCGGGGCGGGGGCGGCGGCCGCAGAGGCGGCGGAGGCGGCCGGGGCGGCGCGGGCGGGCGGCGCGGGTCGAGCGCCGGGTAGCGCCGCGCCGAGCGCGAGCCATGGCCCCGGCGCGGGGCGCGGGGGCCGCGGCAGGGCCGCTGCTGCTGCTGCTGCTGCTGGCTCGGGCGCCGCGCGCGACGGGCGGCGACAGCTGGAAGGGCGGTAAGCGGGCGCGGGCGGGGTGCGGGCGTCGCCGGGGCGCGGGCGGGGAGCGGGCGCCGCCGGGGCGAGGCCGGGATTCACCTGCGGGCACCTGTGCGCGCAGCTGTCCCGGCGCCCCGAGCGTGCCCGCGCCGGACCCGGAGTCACTGGGTCCTCGGGCGGGCGGACTCCGCGGCTGGACGAGGGAAGCAGGGCTGGGCACTGGGGCTCGGGGCCCCCATTTGCTCTTGGAGAGGGCAAAGTTGGCAGAAAGTTTAGCTCTGCGCACCCGTTCCTGGGGTGGGCCAGGAGAGCCGAGGGGCGGTGCCCGTCTGTGTTTGCCCCTGGGGGAAATGCCCACGCGCTGGCTAGGGGCCGACCCTTGCTCCCTGCTGCTTTCACCACGGGTCTCTAAGACTGTATGGGGTCGACCCATGGCCTCTGGGTCTCATGGCCTCTGTTCTGGGGAGCTCCCGTGTGTTGCGGGGCGTTGCTGGTGGGCCCGGATGCTGGTGGGGACTCGACTTTGTCCCTCGGCCCAGCTTGCCCTCTGAGGGACTGACCTTTCCGAGGTGACAGGTGTTTCTGCTCGGCTCAGTCTCCTGGAGAATGGCTGATCACCTCTCAGGCATGAACCACGCCAGTGCAATCCAGGGTACCTGCGTGGGACATGGGCAGGAGGCCTTCTCTCAGTTCTGTCTGAGGGTGCCCTCCAGCACATTGTAATCCCTCCAGTGCAGTCTTCAACTGGCAGGCTCAGGCTGCACACAGCAGGGACCTTCTAATTTGTGCATCTTCTGGCTCCTGGTGTACCTGGGGTTGGGGGGCTTGCCGACCGGCCACAGCCCCCCGAGGTCTTGCTGTGGGTCCACCCTCTGGGTCTGCTGCTCTGACCTCAGACTAGCGGAGCCAAAGGAAAGTCAGCTTTTCCCAAGGTGATTCCAAAGCAGAGCCAGCCGGCTGCTCACCTGGCTCAGCTGGAAGGCCCCAGCCTGCTGCCAGGGCACTGTGCCAGTCGACAAGGGTGCCCAGCTCCATGGCACACCCTACTGTGGTCTCTGCTATGCCCTCCACTCTCTTGCTCCTTCCTAAAGTGCCTCAACCTGTTCTTTCCCCCTCAGCTGAGAGGGGAAGCCGCTTTCAAGGTCATGGGTGTGAGGCTAGGGGAGCCTCCCTGCAACTCAGCTCAGCTAAGTGGGGACACAGAGTGCACAGGGTAGCCCATTTTGTGGAACTTGGGCAGCTGGGGTCTCTTAGGGAGCAGGGAGGGGTGGAGCAAGCAGGGACAGAAACTTCTGGACTTGACAAGCAATTGCAGGGCCTGCACTCTTATCCTGTGCCCAAGGGGGTGGGGGTGAGACTCAGGCTCCAGCCCCACTGCACCCCAGGACTCCTGGGACCATTGTCCAGGACCCCCCACTCTGCCCACTACCTGTGCCCTTCAGCCTCTGTTCGTCTGCCTTGTACGAACCTGGGCTGAGCTGGGGACTTCAGGCAGGTGCCAAGAGGCCACTGGGGGAGTGTGAAAAAGCTGAGGTGGGGCTGGAGTGCTAGCACGGTGGGTAGGGCGTTTGCCTTGCTCGCGGCCAACCCGGGTTCAATTCCCAGCATCCCATATGGTCCCCCGGGAACTGCCAGGAGTAATTCCTGAGTGCCAAGCCAGGAGAAAACCCTGAACATCGCCAGGTGTGACCCAAAAAGAAAAAAAAAAGCTGAGGCATTTGGGGTGGCAGTGCTGGAGCTGCCAGGGCCTGTTGATCTGGGAGCTGCTGGGGAGAAAGGGTGGAGAACGGGCTGGGGCTGCAGCATCTGAGCCTGTGACCCAGAGAGCACGTGTGTGTGCATGCGTGTGTATTGGGGGTATATGCACACGTGTGGTGGATAGGTATGTATATGAGTGTGCTGGACATATGGGTGTGTGCTGTGTCCTCGTGTGTGCCGGGTGTGTTCTATGCACATGCGTATGTGTATACATTTGGTGCGTGTGGATGTGTGTATGCCTGTGTGCATGCGTGCATGCATGTGCTGGTGCATGTGTCTATGTATATAGACACATGTGTGGGGTGGGCATGTAGGTGAGGGCTCTTGGACTTCATACTCGGAAGGGAAAGCTCGGCCCAGCTGGAGGTGGTGGTGGACAGGGACAGTGGCTTGTCCCAGCTTTGCACCAGCTGACTGCCCCTCTCCCCACAGACAGCAGGCTGGTGTCTGAGCAGTTCTCACAGACCCCGCAGAAGCTCTCTTTCTACAGCTGGTATGGCAGTGCCCGGCTCTTCCGCTTCCGGGTGCCCCCTGACACCATACTGCTGCGCTGGCTTCTGCAAGTGACGTGGAATGGCGGCCGCGCCTGCACACACTCAGAGGTCACCGTGTAGGTATCCGCCTCCCTGCTCTGCCCCATCCACCCCGCCCTGCCCCGCACCTGACCTGCCCTGCTCCGGCAGGTACTTCCGCTACGGTGCACCTCCAGTCATCAACCCACTGGGTGCCAGCTTCCCGCCCGATGCCTCCGTGCAGCCACCCTTCCAGCTCAAGATGGGGCAGAATGTGACCTCCCTCAACATCACCCAGCCAGCGCCAGGGGACTGGTTTCTGGCTGCCCACCTACCCCCCTCGGCCCAGAAGCTAGAGATGCAGGTGCGGCCGGGCCCCAGGGTGGAGGTGGCAGCCCTGGTGCAGAACTCAGGTGTGGGCCTGTCCCCAGATCCTGACCCAGTGCTGTCCCATGGTCACCTTCCCATTCCAGGGCACCTTTCCCTCCTGCTCCTGCGTGTTCCACCCTGAGCTGTTGATTGTGCGGGTGCTGGAGGCTTCCATCCTGGAGCCGGACATGCCTCTCCCACAGGTTCTCCTCTCCAGGCCCACCTACCTCAAGTAAGTGGGCACCCCGAGCCGTCGGAGGGGCAGCGCAGGGGGCCACGGTCGCCTCGATGTGTGGTGTGGGTGAGGAGCTGGGTCCCCGGCCTCAGGCCTTCTGGGAAGTGGTGTTGGGTGCCACAGCATGGCAGAACCCAGAGTGGGAGCAGGTAGTGCAGCCAGAGCTGATCTGCACTATTGGGCACAGAGTCTTTGTGCCCGAGTTCACACAGGAGCTACGGCTGGAGCTGCAGGGCTGCGCCACCAACGACAGCCTGGGCTGCCCCGTGCGCCTCACCGTGGGCTCCGCCACCCTGCCTGGCAACTTTCAGAAGGTGCTTACGTGCTCCAGCCCCATGCAGCACTGCCGCCTGCTGCTGCCCTCACCGCCCTGGAACAGGTGGTTGCAAGTGACGGCCCAGAGTGTGGCAGGGCCCCACGTGGCCGTGGCCTTCAGTGCCTTGGCTGCCCTCACAGGTGGGCTGCTGGGAGGCTGGGTGTCAGGCGGTTGTCCCCGCCTGGGACCCTCGGCCTCACTGCAGCTGTCTCTGCTTCTGGCAGCCTGCAAGCCCTGGAACATGAATGTCCAGCACTTCCTGCCGATCTGCAACCTGAACCAGACCTGTAATGCCTCCTCCCATCTGCTGCCCCCCATCCTGGGCTCCCTGGACCTGGGTGATGGCAGCCAGGAAAGCAGAGCCCACTTCTGCTTTGTGAACATCCCAGTCACGCGGGAGGATGTGGACGTGGTGTCGGTGCGCTTCCAGCCCCTGGACAGGCTCCCAGTGCTGGTGCGGCCGGACGTGCCTTCGGTGCTGCGGCTGCCCCTGCACACGGGAATGGACAGTGGGGGCTCCCTCACCATCTCTCTGCGAGCCAACAAGGTACTCGTTTCCACGGGTACCTCTGGGCTGGGGTGTGCGTCTCAGCGGCACTGTGCTGCCACGTCAGGGGTCCCTTTCCAATACCACAGTGACTGTCAGGTGTTAGGCCAGAAGGGGAGTGGCCGAGAGCCGGCTCAGTGGCTGGGGCTTGTGCTCTGCATGTGGGAGACTTGGGTTTGATTCCTGGGGCTACGTGGTCACCTAGCACCGTCACATGTCCCCAAACAGATGGGGCCTGCATGTGTGGGATGGGATGTGGCAGCCAGGGCAGTGGGCAGCTGGCTGGGGCAGCACCAGCACCACCCCCCCACCTCAAGCGCCCTTGCAGTGGTGTAGCCCGCCTCCTGGCCTGCTCCAGGGCTGATCCTACCTCCCTCCCCAGAGCGCCATCGCCAGGAATATGTCTGTGGTAGCGTGTGTGAATGCCGCCTCGCCCTTCCTCAGCTTCAACACCTCTCTAAACTGCACCACAGGTACTGCGACTGCGTCATGCCTGGCGGGCCCTTGCAGTCCTGGGCACAGAGGTGGCTGCCCCTCACGCCCACCTCCTGCCCTGCAGCCTTTTTCCAGGGCTCCCTGCTGTCTCTGAGCGCCTTGGCCCCCCAGGTCAGCCTCGTCATCCCCTACCCGGAGACAGACAACTGGTACCTCTCTCTGCAGCTCGTGTGTCCCCAGGCTGCTAAGTGAGTGAGGGCCAGCGGGGCAGGGAGTCCTGGCATTCAGGACCATGGACGGGGCAACCCACCTTCTCACAAACACCATGGGGACAGCTGTCTTAGGGAGGAACGAGGGGCACTTCTGCACCTGGTCACTCTTCCTCCATGGCAGCCCTAGGAGCCAGGGTGCCTAGACCCACCAGTACACAACCCTAAGGTTGGAGAGGAGGCTCTGTGGTAAGGTGACTTCTGCAAGATCTGGCAGCACAGAAAAGACCAGAACAAAATGGGACACAAGTCGGGGAGAGTTCAGAATAGTGCACAGGTTTGGCTTTGCATGTGGGACGCGCTGAGCACTGAGCCAGGAGTAGTCCCTGACCCCTGTCAGGTGTGGCCCAGAAACCAAAAGAAAGAAAACAAAGACCAGCCAAACAAGACAGAAAGTGAGGCCGGCTGCTTGGCCTGGCCAGAGGGTTCATGTTCTCCAGGCTTGGGCACGGGCCTCCGTGCTGGGCTCCCGTGTCTGGAAGTCTGCTGAGAGCACCGTTGAGGGACAGCCAGCCTATCTGCGGCCCCTTCCTTGCAGGGAGTGTGAGCAGGCTGTGGTCCTCGTGGAAACCACCTTGCACTTGGTGCCCTGTCTGAATGACTGCGGGCCCTATGGCCACTGCCTCCTACTGCGCAGACATGGCTACCTGTACGCAGGCTGCAGCTGCAAGGCAGGTGAGCGCCAGGCTATTGCCTCCGGAGCCTCCCCAAGCCTCCCGCCTGCGCCTCCCTCTGGGAGCCTCACCAGCTCTGCTGAGGCTGGAGAACACGCGCAGGACCAGGAGACACGCCTCCTGCCCTCTCCCCATGGACGCACAGGCAGGTGCCTCGGGGACGGCGCCACCACCTGGCCTTGCCTCCTGTCCATACCTGCCTGCACGTCCCATCCCCTCACCTCTCCGGGCCAGTCACCACCTGCCCATGCTTGCTTGGATCCACTGCACTTGCCTGCCCCTCCCTTGTTGCTCCGTGTCCCGTTACATAGCTGCTACACTTGCTCGCTTGTCTCCACACCTGCCCTGTGTTACCTGTATCATACCTGCCTACACCGGCTCATTGCCTAGCCACACCTGTCTAGTCCTGATCCCCACCTCTCCCATATTTGTACACTGCCCCTATCTGTCTATATCTGCCCCCTCACTTTTCTATTACTGTTCACACCTGCTCATTACTGACCTGCAACTGTTCCACACATGTTCAGGCCTGTTTGCACCTGGTTATGTCTGTCCTGTATCTGTTATGCATGTCTCACACCTGCCATACCTGTCCCAGATCTATTACACACCTGTCTTAACACCTGTCCTGTACCTGTTTAGACCCGTGGCCTCTGGTCTCTACCTTTTCACTTCTGTTCCATATCTGTTGCACACCTGTCTCGTATCTGCTATCCCCTCTCCACCTTTCTCTGCTATACTGTATCTGCTCCTGCTCCACACCTGCCCCGCATCTGCCCAATTCTGCCCTGACTGAGGGTCATCTTAGAAGCTACTGGTGAAGGATGGGCCTGAGGCTGGTAGCCCTCCCCAAGCCTGACACAGCCCTGGGCCTCAACTGCCCCAGGCTGGCGCGGGTGGAGCTGCACAGACAACAGCACGGCTCAGACGCTGGCCCAACAGACAGCGGCCACACTGCTGCTCACCCTCAGCAACCTCTTGTTCCTGGCCCCCATCGCCGTGTCCCTGCGCCGCTCTCTCCTGGTGGAGGCCTCTGTCTACACCTACACCATGTTCTTCTCCACGGTAGGCGGATCTGCTCCCACGGGGGTGGGGCTAGGGGCGCGCCCGGCGCGGTAGCCCCGCCCATCGGGTCTCTCTTGGGGCGGGGCTAGGGGCGGTATCCCCGCCCCATGGCTATACTGCACTTGCTCGCGGGGGGCGGGGCTGGGGGGAACTCTGCGCAGTAACCCCGCCCATCGGGTCTCTCTTGGGGCGGGGCTAGGGGAGGTATTCCCGCCCCACGGCTACACTGCGCTTGCTCACGGGGGCGGGGCTGGGGGGGGAACTCTGCACAGTAACCCCGCCCATCGGGTCTCGCTTGGGGCGGGGCTAGGGGCGGTATCCCCGCCCCATGGCTACACTGCACTTGCTCGCGGGGGGCGGGGCTAGGGCGGACTCGGCGCGGTAACCCCGCCCCCGTTACACCACGCCTGCGCTGGTGCGGGGCTAGGGTTGGGCCCGGCTCGGTGACTCTGCTCCTTGGCTACCCTGCGTCTGCTCGCGGGGGCGGGGCTAGGGGCGGGCCCGGCGCGGAGGCCCAGCCTCACGGTTACGCCACGCCTCCCGCTCCCGGGGGCGGGCCTGGTGCCATGATCCTGTCCCACAGTTCTACCACGCCTGCGACCAGCCCGGGAAGGCCGTGTTCTGCATCCTCAGCTATGATACTCTGCAATTCTGCGACTTCCTGGGCTCCAGCGTCGCGATCTGGGTCACCATTCTCTGCATGGCCCGGCTGAAGGCAGGCCTGAAATATGTGAGTCACCCCAACACTAGGTCTGGCTTCGGGGCAACAGGTCCTCCAAAGAAACCAGGAAGAGCGACTGGTCGAATCTCCTGAAGCCCTGCCGCCTGACTAAGAGACAGGACAAGGTCAGGTGCCGGCCTTGCACGTGACCAACTCTGGCACCACATGGGGTCCCCTGAGCCCCTCCAGGAGTGACTCCTGAGCACAGCCAGGAGAAAGCCCTGAGTTTCCTCAGGGCGTATGATTTCCAAACAAAACCCAGCTTTGAGTGAGAGCAGGAAGCTTGCTTTGCAGGTGGCCCACACAGGTTTGTTCCTGGAATCCCATAAAGTCCCTGAGTCTGCCAGGAATGATTCCTGATTACAGAGCCACGAGTAAATCCTGAGCACCGCTGGGTATGGCCCCCAAATCAAAATATAAACAAAACCCAGTCTTACTAACCCGCTGGATGAGTTGCCTTAGAAGGGATACTGCTTGCTGTGGGGAGCCCAGCTGGTCACAGGCAGAGGCTGTCAGCACAGGAAGGTGGGGACCCCAGCCTAATGCCAGGCCTACTTGAGAAGCTCCTGGAGGTGCTTCTTGTGCTTCAGGGCCCTGAATGAGGCTTTCCTGTGGCAGCCAGACCTGCCTGATACTCCCCTGTGTTCCTCCCCAGCCTGCTGCATGGTTCTGAGAGCCACTGCATTTTATTTATTTTTTTATTATTTTTTTTCTTTTTGGGTCACACCCGGCGATGCACAGGGGTTACTCCTGGCTCTGCACTTAGGAATTACCCCTGGCGGGACTCAGGGGACCATATGGGATGCTGGGAATTGAATCCGGGTTGGCCGTGTGCAAGGCAAACGCCCTACCTGCTGTACTATTGCTCCAGCCCCAGAGCCACTGCATTTTAATCAGTGGGCCTGACTGCACAAACGGCAGGCGCCTCATGTTGGCAGGAGTGGGCTGCACCTTGCCAGGAAGCACCTACATTTGCACACAGAAACTGGTTTGATCACAATTCCTGTGATTGGGGGTCTCGACTTGTGACTTGCAAGCACAAGTACATACAAGAGACAGAGTTTGGGTGGAGCGGGGTAGGACAGTGGAGCAGGTCAAGGGATGACCATTGGTCTGGGTCGCCTGCTACAGGCTCCCTAACCTAGAACGTCTGTGGATGTGCAGGTCCTCTATCTCCTGGGCTCACTGATCATCGCCATGTCCCTGCAGATGTCCCGCCAGGGCCTCTGGAACACGCTCGGGCCTTCCCTCTTTGCCATAGTGATCATGGTGACCATGTGGGTAAGGATGGGATGGGGCCGGCCAGTGCTTCTGCTCAGAGTGAATGGGAAGAGAGCCTGGCCCTTTAGGTGGGATGAGGGTGGCTGCTGCTGCTCAGGCCTGAGGACTCTTCAGACTACTTGGGGCCCCAGTGCCCTCTCCAAGCTGCTAAGCCCTGACAGGGCCCCTGGGCTCTGCTCCCACAACTCATGTGCCAACAGTCGCCTCCTGTGCCCCCAGGTGTATCGTTGTGGGCGCCGACATCACTGCTACCCTCCGTCGTGGCAGCGCTGGGCCTTCTACCTCCTTCCAGGCATTTCCATGGCCACCGTTGCCCTGGCCATCTTCATCTTCATGACCACCAGTGACAACTACTACTACATGCACAGCCTGTGGCATATGCTCCTGGCAGGCAGCGCTGCTGTGCTACTGCCCCCCAGTGAGGAGCCCATAGGGCGCTGGGCCTGTTCACAGAAGCTCACCTGCACCCATGACCCCTGCACCAGCCACCGGGAGGAGTTGTATGCAGTCACCTGACGCCATAGCTGGGCTTGTCCAGACCAGCTCCCACAGAATAAACTTGGCCTGAGCACACTCCTTTGCTCTCCCCTGAACCGAGGGGTCTTCCCGGATTTACCACTCCCCACAGCTTATGGCAGCCCGCCAGTGTGCCATGCCGGGACCCTGGGGCAAGGGGCTTGAACTGTGATGGTGACTGGGTGCCATGGGAGGTGCAGAAAGACCCACTGACCGGTCCCTCTGACTCATCTGCTGTAAGCAGCTCTGGGGTACCTCACCACATGGGCACCCACCCTTGGGGGCCTGGGCCTTGTCTGGGGGGTCTCCCCTTGGGTGGCTGCAGCAGTGGGAGTGCTGCTGTCCCTTGCTGCTGCCCAAAGTTGAAGGGGGACCAGTGCCCCAACTTTCCCTTCTCTGGGGCCAGCAGGCGTTTCCAGAAGGCACAGTGGAGAGACACGATGTCGCCCACACTCTGGGGCTCCCTCTCCCACCCCCCCACCCCGTCTGGCCTGGCCTCCATAGGGTGGGGGCAGTCCCCGCAGTCACCCCGCACGTGACCACCAAAGCTTCTATAGGCTTGTAAAAGGAAAATATTTATATAAGGTATTTTGGAGGGATGAACATTTTGAGACATTAAAGCATATTTTCCTGTAGCTCTGGTTTCTGCATCATTGTTCCATGTAACACTCCGCTGTGGTACTTCCAGGTTCCCGCTCTGCTTTGCGGCGGGGGCGGGGCGAGGCGCGGACGGACGGGCCCGGCAGCCAGTCGGCGGCGAGCGGAGGAGGGCGCCTGCGGCTTCCGGTTCCGGCGGCGGCGCTCGCAGGCGGCGCGCTGCCGCGGCGGCTTCCCGGTGCCCCGATGCCGCTGCACAAGTTCCCGGTGCACCTGTGGCCGCGGCTGCGGCTGCGCGAGGGCCTCGGCTCTCGCCTGCCCGCCCACTACCTGCGCTCGCTGGAGGACGAGCCGGCGCCCGCGCCGGTCCACTACCGGCCGCACGGGACCCGGTTCAAGGTCAACCCCCGGAACGGGCAGCGCGAGCGCGTGGAGGACGTGCCCATTCCCCTGTACCGGCCCCGCGAGGCCCAGCTGGGGCTGTGGGGCGGCGAGGGCTGGATCCTGGGCCAACGGTACGTCAACGACGACAAGGTGGGTGAGGCTGGAGCCCGGCCCCCCGACACCCGCGGGCGACGCGGGCCAAGGGGGAGGGGAGGTCTGCAGCCCCGTGGGGGAGTGGACCCTCAGGCCCGCGGGCTCTCACTCTGCAGCTGTCCAAACGGGTGAAGAAGGTGTGGAAGCCACAGCTGTTCCAGCGGGAGCTCTACAGCGAGATCCTGGACCGGACCTTCACCGTCACGGTGACCTCGCGCACCCTGGACCTCATAGACGAGGCCTTTGGCTTTGACTTTTACATTCTCAAGGCAAGTGCAGGCCAGTGCCAAGGGCCATGGCGTGGGCTGTGGGAGTCTGGCCCCCTCCACCCTCTAGCCCCTGAGCCAGTTTGCTGCCCCAGGGCGCCAGGCCCCATGCACAATCTCCCCTAGACCCCCAAGCAGGACCTGTGCTCCAAGTTCGGGATGGACCTGAAGCGAGGTATGCTGCTGCGGCTCGCCCGCCAGGACCCCCAGCTGCACCCTGAGGATCCCGCCAGGAGGGCTGCCATCTACGACAAGTACAAGGTGGGGCTGGCTCCCTCGCTACTCCACCCCAGCCTGGCCACCCCAGCTGGCCCCTCACCTGTCCCCTCTCTGTTTCTGCCAAGTAGGACTTCACCATCCCCGAGGCAGAGGCTGAGTGGGTAGGGCTGACGCTGGTGGAGGCTCTGGAGAAGCAGCGGCTCCTGGAGGAGAAGGTGAGAGTGTGCCCGCTGCGGCCGGGCCCCGTGCCCTTGGCTTCCTCACCCCCTGCTGCATGTCTCTTTGGTGGCTCCTCTGCCTTTGGGGGTGGTCACAGGGCTGCCCTCTCTTTGGCCTGTATCTGATCATGGGCCCTGGAGGCAGGGAAGCTAGGAGGCTGTGTGGGCAGCACTGGCTGGGTTGCAGGTCCAGACCCAGCTCTCAGCCTCACTGGTCCTTGGCTCATCCTGCAGGCCCCCGTCCCGCTGTTCAAGGTCTACGCAGAGGAGCTGATCCGGCGGCTTCAGCAGCAGGCACTATCGGAGCCAGCGCTGATGACGAAGAGGCCCAGCCCAAAGTGACAGGAGAGGCTGTCCCCCCCCCCCCCCCCCCCCCACAGCTTTGGGGAGCCGTTCTAGAGCCTGTGCCCAGCATGGCAGAGCTTGATGGAGACTCCCCACACCCCTCTCCCGGGCAGGGAGTACACCCAGAGCTGTCCTGGCACTGTGCGCTGCTATCTCAGCACCAGTTACGGGACCTGGACATGGCAGAGGCGGTGGTCCAGGCAGCTGGGCACTGGGGCCAGGGTCACTTTGGTGTTGTCTTCAGGAGAGTCTGTCCTAGTGGTTGGTTTCCTGCAGTGGGGCTAGATGGTACTTGCCCTTCCAGTTCAGCATCCTTTCTGTTCTAGAACATTCTCCCAAGCAAAGCAGCTGGCCAAGGTCTGAGAATGTTTCCACTGTCTGCCCACCTGCTCTTCAAGGCCCAGACACTGGCAGCAGTGCTGGACCTGGATAGTTGGGGGCTGGGGAGCCCCTGCCTTTAATGGGGTCTGGCTGCAGGTGCAAGGCTGGGCAGGCTCCCCACAGCCTTCCCTGCTCCAAGTTGGGGCTCCAGACAACCCTTACCCAGAATGCCAACACTGAGATCTCTTCTGACCTCTCAGGGGACAGGGAGGGCTTCTTTGGACTCTTTTTGTGACAGATCGGGTGGGGCCATGGAAACAGCAGCACTTAGTTCCGAGGATGAGGGCTGGAGAGAGTCTGTGGGGCCGGATCCCTGGGTTAGTACCAGTGTCTCCTCACAGCTGGGGTACAGGGAGCAGTTTCCAGCTCCAATCAGGGGTACTCACATTTCATGTTTTTTTTTGGGGGTTTTTTTTTTTTTTTTTTTTTGCATTCTTGGGTCACACCCGGCAATGCAAAGGAGTTACTTCTTGTTTCATACACTCAGAAATCACTCCTGGCGGTGCTCGGGGGACCATATGGGATGCCGGGAATCGAGCCTGGGTCGACCGTGTGCAAGGCAATGCCTTACTTGCTGTGCCGTTGCTCCAGCCCCTCACATTTCATCTTTTGCCACGTTTTACTAAAAGGAAGCGTTGCCCATCCTCGCCAGCCCAGGTCTGATGGCCGCCAGTCCCCTCAGTCCTGACTTGGTTAAACCAAAGTCCCCATTCCACTCTCCACCCACTGCTTTCACTGGGGGATGATCCACGACCATCCCAGGTCCTTCTATCAGCTCCTTCACCCTCTTCCTCAGTTGCTCTTTCAGCCATAGTTAAAGCTGTAGGTGAGAAACTGCCTTGCTTGCAGCCAACCCACTTTCATGCCCCAGCACCACATAAAGCCCCCCCTGCCCACCAAGAGTGATTCCCCAATCGGAGCTAGACCCTCAGCACTGCCAGGTGTGGCCCAAAAAAAAGCCTACAAAATAAAATAAAGCGTATTGGTGGAAGGAACTTCCAGTTTGATCACTGGCTTCGTTTTCTGGCTCCTGGGGGGGAGGGGGGGGCTCCTGGTAGGGCCACTAGAGAGTGGATGGGGCCCTAGTCACTTGGGCTGGCTTGTGACCCTGCATCTGTGGAAGAGCTTTCCAGCCTGCGATGTACCCAGGAGGCTGGTCCACTAGGAACAGCAGTTCCAGCTGTGACTGACAATCTGGGGGGAATCTGGTGTGATAGGGTACTCGGGCTCAGAGAGCTGGCACATGCCCCCGTAAGCCATGAGTACCCAGATTCAGTGATTGGGAGCTGCTTTCCTCACCACCTCCAAGCGTGCCTTTGTCCTCTGACCCTGAACCCCTACATCTCCTGACTTGCTTTTGGGTGGTAGGTAATTCTGGCCTAGGTGAGGCCTGCAGGAGCCCAGGCCATGCAGAACCCATGGGGGTCTTGCAGGACCTTCCCCGGCTCTCAGACAAGCCCTGTCTCCTGTGAGTTGGGGGTCCAGTGTCCAGCGCCCTTCTGCCAAGGATATAGGGCTGGGAGGAAGGCTCATGAGGGTCATTCAGCAGCCGCAGGGCCTGCACTGTCACTGTGGATCTCAAGAAAGGCAGAAGGACCCACCTGGGACTAGGATGGTGTCAGGTGTGCTGGCTGTGCGCTGGCATGTACACTCTGCTCTCGCAGAGAAGCACTGAGTGGGAGGCCGTGTGGAAGAGGCTACAGTGGGCCTGGGTAGAGACGCGGCTGCTCCCGCATCGTGGAGGGGAGCGAGGACACAGACTCGAACACATGGCTTTAGCACAGCAGTGTGGACAGAGCAAGGCCTGTGGGGCATCAGGCCAGCTCCCTTGAGCCCAAGTTGGTATGAACATGTTCTTGACAGGTGAGATACAGGATGGGTTGGCAGGCAGAGAAAAAGCAGGTGGGCCCCCAGCTCCCTGTTTTCTGTGTTGGGGGCCCTGCCCCTTCCCCACTACTTGCCGTAAGATTGGGCTCTGTCTTTAGTCCCTGGGGCAAGCCTGACCTGCGGTCCTGTAGCAGAGGCTGTGAGGACAGGTCATTCCCTTGTTCGGAATCAGACAAGACACAGAGCTGCCTGGAACATGTCTGAAGGAAGTGATGGAACATGACGTGATAACATTCAACAGCTGCTACAGGAGCAGTTACCATCCAGTCTTGTCACCCTGACCTAAGGGGGGGCCTTGGCCATGTCCCACCCCACCGCCGGCACCGCCCGCTCCCTCTGCAGCCAGGAGTAGCTGGGGGTGGGTGGTGGTAGTGTCTAAAGGGGCTGGTTGCCATGGCTACCATAGGGTTCTGAGTCGTCATCTGCTCCCTGCCTCAGCCAATCGGTGGTGGGAGCCGGAGCTGCAGCCCAGAGTCACGCTTCTTCCTCCCAGCACACAGTGGCCAAGAGCAGGGACCTGGAGTGGTTGGAAGTGCTGGACGTGCAGCCAGGCTCAGCATGGCGGACCCCAGGATGGTGGGGTGCAAGCCAGCACGCGGAGCCAGGCAGGTGAGGTAAGCCAGGAAGAGGGTGGGTGCACGGGCGGACAGGCACACAGGCAGGCATGCTCCCTGTTGCCATTGTTCTTTGGCCAAGGCCCTGCCCTGGGCTCACCCTGCCCTTCTCCCTTGCACATACATATGCACCCTGGCCCAGGGGCCTCTTCCCAAATGACCCAGGCAGGTTCCTGGGAAGAGAAATGAGACTGCACAGGGCAGGATGAAGCCCACCGCACAGTGGTCCCGAAAGCTGCCGCCGCCGCCGCCTTTCATGTCAGATTTCGCATCGAGGCGGCATCAAAGACCCCCAGCCGGCCACCCTTCTCTCGGGCCAGGCAGTAAGCCATGTCCGGTCAGTGCAGTTTAAGGACCATGTTTTTCGAGAAGAAAAAAGCGAAGCCGAGTGCAGAGAAGATTATCTGTGTATGCGGGGAGTGGCCGGCCCAGGACGGATCAGAACGCGAGGTCCTGCCGGCTGGGACTTCAGAGGCTGCTGTGCCTAAAAGCTTAGGTGTGGTGTGTTCTTTGGAGATCAAAGGGGACATGCATGTGTGTGTGTGTGTGTGTGTGTGTGTGAGAGTGCACGCGCGCACGCACACGTGAATGTGCTCCACAGGGTGAAGAACAACTGGAGGCAGCTGGGTGCCATGGCAAGGTGGAGCCTGGCATGTCTCCTGCCACCATAACCACCCTCCATGCTGCTTTCGCCCATTGTAGCTGTGGCTGGGCCTGGACCTGGCCGTGCATCCGGTCTCTGGGAGACCTTCCTGGATGCACCTTGTCCCTTGGCCTAAGCCTCCATCTTCTCTCCTGGAATCTGGTCCTCTGCTCAGTTTGACCTGGACGTGCGTGGCAGGAGCTGAGACCATGGCCCAGGCACTGCAGAGACGGCTGGGGCCGCTTATTGTCACTAATGCCATTCTGCTCTCTGTGAGGCCTCAAGTGCCCAGATGGCCTGTGAATGCGTCCTGGAGGTTCAAAACTCCATTGACATGATTGTTAGGTTATTAGTAAACTCCTGAGAAGAAAATCTTTTAATCCACTGTGGCTAATCCAGTGGACTTTTTTTTGTTTGCCATGACAGACTCTGCAGGACAAAGGGCCAGGAGCATATATAATCACACACGGCTGATCAAGGCCAGGAGCTCCTGGGGGAGGCATCCAGACAGCTCAGTGAGGGTCACATGTGGTCCTGGTCCTGGTGAGGGCAGCTGGCTTGCCTTGTCCCCCTTGCCTAGCCGGTGTTTCAGCTCCCGGGGCCCTGCACCTGTTTGGTGTCTTTGGGATGCAATAGGCGAAAGGAGAAGGGTTGGCTTGTGGGGAAGTGGGAGCAGCTGCTCCAGGAGAGGCTGTTGGGACTGAGACAGCCAGGGTGGAACCAGCATAAACAAGACTCCAAGGGGACCTAGTCCTGGCCTGAAGCCCAAGGTCAGAGTGGAAGCTAGGCAAGGCCACCTGGGAGGTGCAGGGAGGCTTGACTCCCCCTCAGGCTTCCAGGCAGGACCCTGGGCCTTCACTGGCTGTGCTTGATCCCTGCCTGGCGGAGCAGAATCTCTAGCCCAGCTCTAGGCTCAGTGGCCGGACTGGGGGAGAGGCTCGAGGCCGGGGAAATGCTGGGTGGGGCAGCTGCTCTCCCAACACCCTCCTCAGTGCCCTCTCTCGCCCTGAGCAAGTGTGACCCAGGAGCTGTCTCTGAGAAAAAGACAGTGCCATGGAAGGGTCCTCACTGTGTTGCTTCTACCTGACATCCCTCTCAGGACAGGTGAGGTGCTGGATGGGGTGTGGTGCCAGGTGCTGCCCTGGGTCTCTGTGGCTGCCCTCCGATTCACCATGGCCTCTGGAGCTGAGTGTCCACTGAGTGGCAAAGTCAGCTGGGTTGGAAGCCTGACTTTCCGAGAGTAGAGGGCTCTGCTGTTGCTCTGGGGTCACATAAAGTGTGCTCAGGGGCTCTCTCTGGCCTGGTGCTCAGTGCTGAGGACCTGCCTGGGCCTCCTCATGTGAAGCCGCATTCAGCCTGTTGAGCATCTCCTGGCCCCTGGCAGGGACCGTTTCAGCTAGTGCCCCTTGTAGGCCTGGCACTAGTTGAGTGTGGGGTGAACAGACGCATGGGACCAAGGCAGTGTCAGGAGCTTTGAGAGGGACACGGGTAAGTCTTGCACTCAGGGGCTGAAGTAGGCTGCAGACAAAGCCAGTCTTGTCCCCCACCCTCTCAGTGAGGCTTCTTGCCTGCTTCATCAGCTTGGTGTCATCTTATTAGATCTCTCCTGGGCCTCTGCCTAGGGCAGGTTTGGGTGCTGAGCTGCGGGGGGCAAGAGAGCTGGGGTAGGGTGGCTGTTCTCACATCTGTCCAGGGCCCCACAGCACCCCCAGCTCCCTTATACCTTGAAGGCCAGCCCTGGAAGCTGAGGCCCAGTGTCGGTCTCAGAGCCAGGGTGGGATACTTCTCACTGGTCCGAGTGGTCACAGCACACCCTGACACTTCACTGACCAGGGTGGGGTGGAGTGGGGAGACAAGGTTAGGACAGTCGTGGCTGGGCTTGGGATAGAACTGTCCCTGTGGGAGCAGCTTTCCACACAAGGGCAGGGGAGCATGGGGCTCATTTGAGCCTGGCGTTCAAGACTGTCCCGCACACCCACAGGTCAGGGGGTCTCTTCTGCCTTCTGCCTTCATGGACAGGTGCTCTGTGCACACAGGGATGCCCCGTGCATGTGCATGAAACCCTGTCCTTGTCTCACACCCCATGGAATTTCTGCTGTGGTGTCCTCTCACTGCCTCCCTTCTGGCCATGTGCTGAGGCATGGCATGGCTCCTCCTCCCCTGAGCCTGGAGACAGTGGAACCATGTGGTACCCAGGGACAGGCAGCTGTGAAGACAGAAGCTGGACAAATCAAGGCCTCTGAGACTGCTATGACCTCACTCTGCCTATGCCTCTCAGATGTGAGGGACCCATCTCCCTCCTGAACCCCAAACCAGCTCACCTTATGGTCCTCCCTCCCCCCCATACCTCCTGTCTGTGCAGTGGCCCACTGTGGCTGGTTTCCATTGTGTCAAACCAACTGGCCATGCCTGATGGACATGGCAGGGAGCCCAGACAGGATGCCTCCATGCACAACCTGGAGGCATCCTCTTTAGCCCAGTGGATTGGCACGAGCAGAGTGTTCAAGCTCACTCACTCCAAAGTCTGCCCTTGACATTATAGTTGCAGAATAAAACCTTATTTCAGCTCTAAAGCTGGGCTGCTGGAAGCCTGAATCAACATATTCTTCACTTAATGCCTGTAGCCACCTCAGACCTGCAGCCTCTGTTCCAGGGACAGGGCTATGGAGTGTGACCCGTGGAATGAGTAGCTGCGTGGCTGTGCCAGAGGACTGCCTGTGCAGAGGGACACTCTTTGGCCCTGACTATGCCCAAGCGCCTTACCTAGAGTCTCATGCCGCCCTCCTGGCCGGCCTCTTCAGTCTGCCCTCCCTCCTGGCCTGAGGGTTGCTGTGTTCCTTCAGGCTTCCTGATTCCCTTCTTGTTTTGCAGGGCAGGGACCCTAAAGAGTCAGAGACTCCAAGGACCAGGAGGAGGATGGACCTGGACACGCCCTCAGAAGCCTGGCCTGGCCTGGCCGCAGCTCTGCAGAACCAAGGCAAGCCTGGGGGAGTGTCTGGGAGAGAGGAGGCCACTGAGGCCCTGTCCAGCAGGGTGTCCGGCATACTCTGGGCATGGCATATGTGCTGCGTCCTGAGAGGGGTGGCGTCCTCTGTGCCTGCGCCCCATTCTTCCTGAGGCTGATCCCAGCCCCCTATAGGTGCCACTGGGGAGTGGCCAGCAGGACCTTTTTTGCCCTCACCTGGGGTTAGGAAAAAGAATAGTTGGTGAGGGCACGGGGAAGATGGGGAAGATGAGGTGGTGATTACAGGAGGCCCAGGAGACTTGGACTCGGTGCTGTGGAAACATGAAGTGGGGAGGGACAGGCTTGGAGGCTCTGTGAGTGGTGGGGAGTCCAGGACAGGGGGTGAGCCAGTCCCTCTGCAGAACAGAGAAAGTTGTCCTGGGTGCTGCAGGGGGCATTTCCCCAGGGGCCGCTTGATGACAGGCGAATCCTTATTGACCAATATCTGGTGCCCATCTGCCACCAGCAGCATGGTGACGGGAGGGGAGAGGTGCCAGGTTTGGGATTTGGACACCCAGATGCCCTTTGTGCCCAGGACGGCTGGGCAAAGGGGACTCACGGGCCAGGTGCAAAGGGGAGCTTCTGTGTGGACCTGTGTGGACCCGGCCTGCTTGGAGGCAGATGATCCCGCCCTGGTGACGCCTCTGCCTCAGCTCTCAGCTCTCCGGAGTGCAGGCCCCTGGTTCCGCCCCTGCAGGCCAGCCTCACGCTCAGCCACACTCGGGCCCCGCCCCTTGCCCCGCTCCGCTCCCGCTCATTTACACGCCCCACGTTTTACCTTTGCCCGCCCGCATGTTGGGCCCCGCCCCCACGTTGCAGCCCGACCACGCCCCCACTTATGCCCCGCCTCCACCGGCCCCGCCCCCCGCCGGCCCCGCGCCCTGCCTGGCTCCACGTTCGCCCCGCCCCCGCGGCCGGCCGGCCCCGACGCCCGCCCCACTCCCCCGCCCGGCCCAACCCCCAGCCCGGACGGCCCCGCCCCCGCTCCGGGCCCCGCCCTACGTCCGGCCCCGCCCCCGCACTTCCGGGCGGCGCCGGCGGGGGCGCTCGGGCCTGGGCTTCGGCGCTCTGGGCGCGGGCTCCCCGCTCGGGGAAGCGATTCCGGCCGCCGCCGCCGCCGCCGCAGGACCGGCCGGAGTCGGGCGGAAGCCGAGTTCCGCGGAGCAGGCCGGTGAGAGCGGGTGGCTGCCCCGGCGGCGCCCCCGCGGCCCGCCCCCGCCCGCTCCGGCCTCCGCGCCGCCGCCGCGATGGGGGCAGCCCCGGGCCGCGCCCCCGCCCCGTCCCGCCCGCCGCGCCGCCGCTGAGCGCATGGGCCTCGCCGCGCCGCGCCGCGCGGGGAGCCGGGCCCGGGGCCCCGCTGCCGCCGAGCTCGGGTGAGTGAGTGCGGGCCGCGCCCGGCGCCCATTGTAGGCCGCGGCGGGAGGCGGCCGACCCGGAAGAGGCCGGTGCGGGCCGGCGGGCGTGCGGGCGGCGGGCGTGCGGCCGGCCCGGGGGGTCGCCGCGCGGCAGGTGGGATGCGAAGCCGCGCGCCTCGCTCCTGGAGGCCCGTCGTGCCCGGGCTTGCTCCCTGCGTGCCGCGGTCCGGCCCCGGGACCTTGTGCGGCGGGGCGGGGGCGCTGGGGGCCCGCGTGGGGAGCGGGAGCGAGTCCGACCCGCAGGAGGTACTCCCCGGGGGAGGCGGGATCCGGCCCGCGGTTCTGGTCTCGGTGCCGCGTTCCCTCCGTCCCTGACGCAGAGCTGACAGCAGTGCCGGGAACTTTTAGCTGAATGGTCCCGGGCCTTTACTTTGCAGGCTGGGGGCCGTCCGCGCCGTCTGTCCTTGACCTGGCGTCTGGCAGTGACCGCAGGCCCGCTGGAAGGAGTGTCAGGGGGCCGGGGGTCGTCAGTGGGCAGAGCGTGTGCGTGCATGCGTGCGTGCGTGCGTGCGTTCCGCCGGGCGGGCGGTCCGGGTTTGCTTCCTACAGGGGATGGGCACGAACAGCTTACGAGCACCAGGGTTCTGTGTGATTTTTCGCAGATGCGGAGTTTTAAGTTTCTTTCCCTTTGTTTTCAGTTGGAGCAAGACCTAGTGGACTTTTTGCTCTTGCTTTGGTCATGGAAACAAGAGGTGCGGATCCAGGAAAAGGATCCGTCGGTGCTGGGTTTCACTGATAGAAGGCTGGCCAGCCTGTCGCCTCCCCACTCCCTGCAAGTCAAGAATTCAAAAGTGATCCTGTAGTGAAGCTGGTAGGAGTATTTGTCCACTGGTGTGCCGGGGGTGAGCCCTGGCGGACAGAGCCTGTGGAGATGTGAAGGGAAGCCCAGACAGGCCTGTGGATATTTGAGGGCAGCCCAGACAGAGGCCTGTGAAGGTGTGAGGGGGAGCCCAGACAGAGGATGGAGGAAATGTGAGGGTGAGTCCAGACAGACAGAGGGTGAGCCTGTGGAGATGTGAGGATGAGCTAGTGTAGGTCCCTCTCCGGAATGCCACCGTTGTGCAGAACACGGGCTGTGCGCCAGACTTGGTGCTGGTGGCACTTGACTGCTGGGTTTCCCTAACTGATCCCTATGAAGTGCTGTGCAGGTGCTGCCGAGACCCCCACGCCTACAGAAATAGAGCTTGTTCCACTGCCTCAGTGATGTGGGTGCTGTCTGTGCTTGGGGAGCACCAGAGAACTGCTCTCAGAAGTAGAGGGGGTAATAGAAATGTGTTTTTCTGGGCTTTAAAAATCATTAGGGGGGCTGGAGCAATAGCACAGCGGGTAGGGTGTTTGCCTTGCATGCAGCCAACCTGGGTTCGATTCCCAGCATCCCATATGGTCCCCTGAGCACCGCCAGGGATAATTTCTGAGTGCAAAGCCAGGAGTAACCCCTGTGTATCGCCAGATGTGACCCAAAAAGCAAAAAATAAAAATCATTAGGGGTTTGTTCACACAGAAATGATTAGCCTTTTGACCCTTTTATAAGGGGTCAAAATTAGAATTTGCTGTCGGGTTTTTTTTTTTTTTTTTTTTGTAGTTTTGCTTTTTTGGGGATGGGGAGGGCATATGTCCAATGGTGCTCAGGGCTTACTCCTTGCTCTGCATTCAGGAATCATTCCTGGTGGGCTTGCGGGACCATAGGGGATGCTGGGAATCGAACCCAGGTTGGCCGTGTGCAAGGCAAGTGCCTTAACTGCTGTACTATTGCTCCAGTCTGTGCTGCTATTTTTAGTTTGGTGTTTGGATCACATGTGGCTGTGCCCAGGACTTACTCTTGGCTCTGTGCATGGGGCTCACTCCTGGCAGGGCTCAGGACACCCTGTGCAGTGCTGAGGATGGAACCCAGGTGGACTGTACACAAGGCAAGAGCTTGCCCCACTGTGTGCTCTCTGTGTGTGGTAGTTCAACATCTGTGCCAAATACTTTTCCTTTTATGCTGTGAGTACAGTGGTGGTTGACCCCTGTGCTGCAAGGTCTTTCCAGTACTGTGGTCCTGCAACTTTGAGTCATTGAATTAGAAGACACATGTGCCTGGGGAGAAAGTGACAGATGACCCTATTAGACACTTAGCGGGCCATCGAACTTCAGTGCTCAGGGTAATGTGGGTGGGGGCTCAGGCCCAGGCTCTTCCCTGGGATAAGACAACGACAAGACAAGAGTGTGTGACTGGGGGGCAGGGAGTGGCCTTGCTATGCATGTGCAGATGTGGATGGGCAGCTTTGCAGCTCAAGTGCCTGTGAGCCTTAGGCCCTGCCTGAGGAAGCTGCTCTTGTTAGGCTGAGAGTGCAGCCTCTCTGGTGGCTTTCACAACCGCCATTCACTGTGGGAAGGTCATTTGGGCAACTTATTGCCTTTGCTCCTGGCTTCTAGCCAGTGGCAGCAAATGACTGGCAACGTGTGAGAATCTGGTGAGGGACTATGTGTAAGCCAGTCTGGGGCATTTATGGAGGGGAGAACAGCCTTTGTGTTCGCGCCAGCTGTCAGGTCTGGTGGTAGTGGGTGGTTGTTTGTTTCACATCTGGAGGTTCTTAGAGACTGACCGTATGTGGTGCTGGGACTCCGTCTAAGGTCATTACCATATAGACAAGTGCCTTTTGCCAGCTGTGGGCTTCATCTCTTACCTCCCTTGACTTGTTCTGTGCTCCTGGCATCAGGACCTGATAGGTCTCTTCCCATCCACTGAATGGCACTACAGATATGACGTCGGTCCACCGACCATGTAGGAGATGTGGCCCAGGCTTGTGGGTCTCCAAGAGCACCTGCGGGATGTGGAAAGGAAAACCGAGAACCATGACAGAGTTCGCCCTGACTGTCTTTACGCATATTCAGGGCAGCTGCAGGTCCCAAGCCCTTAGTTCCCCGACCCTGGAAAGGGTGACTGGTGTGGTTGCCAGCCTGTGGAGCCTTTGTACAAGCCACATGCTTCCTCTGCTGGAAGGTATGTTCGCAGCTGAATTTCACTTTCCTCCATGTTCTTTCCTGGTTGGTGGACCTGAGTACCCTTTTCTCTGAGGACACTTTGTTTTTCAGACCACGCTGGGTGGTGCTGGGGTGGAATCAGCATACTGTGTGCAGTGCTCTACAGCCTGTTGCACCATTGCTCGGGCCAACACTGAGTTGAGTTGGAGGCAGCATTTCTTGAGAGTCCTTTGGGCAGTGTGAGGATGCTGGTGTATGTATGGGGTGGTAGTCAGTGCAGTGCCATGTCACGGAGAGAAGGGAGTGTCTTTGGCTATTGCGGTACATATTGGGACATGTTGTGGGAGAAGGCAGGGAGACAAGATGGGCCGCATACACGAGTTCTCTGTGTCACAGTTCTGGGGACATGGGAGGTGACGACTGGAAGGACTGTCCCTTGCTGCAGCTGTGCTGCCCTGGGTGTGGCGAGGAGCCTTCAGCTCTGAGCTAACCAGGAAAGGGTGCTCTCCGCGTTCCAGCCTTCCTTCTAAGGGCCTGAGATGCTCCTGCAGTGGCAGGATCCAGAAACATGCGGTCTACTCCAGGTGGTGTGGCGGGAAATTGAGGAGAGCTGCTTTGCACTGCTGGGCTTGTCTCAAGCCCTCTGTGGTCCCTCTTCTATAGTGACCCACCTTTCCTAACACTTGTCCTCTTGATGCTTTCCACAGGGCAGAGTGACGCGCTTTGTAGCTCGGAGTGCTGATGTTCTAGTGTGCAGGCTCTTGGTCCAGTGACGCTCCGAGTGCCAAAATGAATATCCAAGAGCAGGGCTTCCCCTTGGACCTGGGAGCCAGCTTCACTGAAGATGCCCCTCGGCCTCCGGTGCCTGGTGAGGAGGGTGAGTTGGTGTCCACAGATTCCAGGCCCGTCAGTCACAGCCTCTGCTCCGGGAAAGGGGCTGGAAACAGAGGGGAGACTTCCACAGCCACGCCCAGACGCTCGGATCTGGACCTGGGCTATGAGCCTGAGGGTAGCGCTTCGCCCACCCCCCCATACCTGAAGTGGGCCGAGTCACTGCACTCGTTGCTGGATGATCAAGATGGGATCAACCTGTTTAGGACTTTCCTGAAGCAGGAAGGCTGTGCCGATCTACTGGACTTCTGGTTTGCGTGCAGCGGCTTCAGGAAACTGGAGCCTTGTGTCTCCAATGAGGAAAAGAGACTGAAACTTGCTAAAGCTATTTACCGGAAGTACATCCTTGATAACAATGGCATCGTGTCCAGGCAAACCAAGCCAGCCACCAAGAGCTTCATTAAAGACTGTGTCATGAAGCAGCAGATCGACCCTGCCATGTTCGACCAGGCCCAGACGGAGATCCAGTGCACTATGGAGGAGAACACCTACCCCTCGTTCCTTAAATCCGACATTTATTTGGAGTACACGAGGACAGGCTCTGAGAGCCCGAAGCTCTGTAGCGACCAGAGCTCCGGCTCTGGGACAGGGAAGGGCATACCTGGCTACCTGCCCACGCTGAACGAAGATGAGGAGTGGAAGTGTGACCAGGACCTCGATGAAGACGACGGCAGAGACCCTGCTCCCCCTGGCAGGTTCACACAGAAGCTGCTGCTGGAGACGGCTGCTCCGCGCGCTGCCTCCAGCCGACGGTACAGCGAAGGCAGAGAGTTGAGGTGCGTGAGTTGCGTTTGTTCTTCCCCGAGTTCTCCTCTGAGAGCCAGAGTCTTGTCAGGAGGAGGGGTCACTGGGCACTGGCCCTGTCCTCCAGCCTCATGAGGGGTTTCTCTGCTAGAGGGGTGCTGCTGCTTTTTGGGGGGAGCTGCCACAGTGCTGTGCCCTGGGCTTACTCCTGGCTTTGTGCTCAGGATTCACTCCTGGTGGTGCTGGAGAGACCTTTTGGGGTGCCAGGGATCGGGCCTAGGTTGGCTCTGTGTAAGGCAAGTATCCTCCCTGCTCTACTGTCGAGACCCAAGACTGTTTTAGAGCTTTTTTTTAAGTTACCAGAAAATCTAGAGGAAGGTACAGGGGTATTTCAAACACCACCTGCTAGCCACATCATACCAGAAGGGACGTTTATTGTAGGTAATGAACCTGCATCACCACTGAACGTCGACTGTTGACATCAGGGGCCACTCTGTATTGTGTTTTTTTGTTTGCTTTTTTCTTTTCTGTTTTTGTCTTTTGGGTCACACCCTGCAGTGCTCAGGCCTTACTCCCGGTTCTGCACTCAAGGATCATGCCTGGGGTCCAGAGGACAGACTGTGTGGATTGTGGGGTGTAGAGTCGTCCCCAGGATGGCCTGTTTGCAGTGGGGGGTTAGAGTGGTTCCCAGGACTGCCTTTGTGCAGTGTGGGATATTGAGTGGTCCCCAGGATGGTGTGTGTGCAGTGGGGGGTGTAGAGTGGTCCCCAGGACGGCCCACATCTCCACTTGCTCTGTGTTTGTGCCAACCTCTGGCCACATCTCTCTCTCTCTCTCTCTCTCTCTCTCTCTCTCTCTCTCTCTCTCTCTCTCTCTTTGCCATGCCCAGCCTTGCTCAGGGGTTACTCGTGGCTCTGTGTTCAGGAATTACTCCTGGTGGGGCTTGGGGAATATATGCAGTGCTGGGGATCAACCCTGATCTGGCCATGCTTGAGGCAGTTCCCTCCCTTCTGCACTCTGCTCGGCTCCTCTGGGCACATTTCTGATGTCACAGTCCTGGGCAACCTTGGGATCCCTCAAGTCACTCCCTTGAAACATTACTGCTTTTGTCATAATACTGGCCCCGAGTTCTTTCCTGCGCAAGTCATTTTAAGGCACTATCCCTTTATTTTATTTTATTTTATTTTACTTTTTTCATAAAAGTCATTCACAGTTCATTTCATTTCATTTCATCATCCTGTTATTCGTTGATTGCCTCGAGCAGGCCCCAGTAACGTCTCTTTCATCCTAGCCCTGAGATTATATTCAAGGCTATTTAGGAGAATGAGACCCATCATTGTTACTGGTATTTGGCATATTTGGTACGCCACGGGGAGTTTGCCAGACTCTGCCCTGTGGGCAGGCTATATTCGATAGCCTGCAAGGGCTGGAGTGATAGCATTCACAGTAGTTCATTACAGATAATATTCAAATACCAGTCCCACCACCATGCACCTTCCAGCCACTATAAGAGGGAAGTGTGTGAAGGTTGTTGTATTTCATTCTGGAGCCATTTAAGCCCGTATATAAGAGAATACAAGCAAGTATATTAAAATCAAACAAATGCGTGCTACTTTTGGTGTGTAAGTTGGCTAGAGTATAAGAGACATTCTGCTCTGGACATTCTGTGTCACTCTCTTCTGGGAGCTTTGATTTATAGTCTCTGGGTCTTGGCCTTTGATGAGATACATGGCTCCAGGGGCAGTTTGTGGGTGTGACTGCCAAGCTACTGAAAAACTGGGGAGCTGGGGCGGGGGACGAAGGCCCAGTCTCCATCCCAGCAGGCTTAGAGATTTCAGTCACAGGTTCTTGCATACCAGGGTTTTTCTGCAGGTTCCCTCTTGGGTGAGCGTGTGGAGAGGGACCTTGCACTTGGCGGCAGTTGGGTTCTGGAAGTTTTCGCCTGTCGAGGTTCTTCTTGGGGCGGGGAGGGACACTCAACTCGCCCCCTCCGATCTGCCCCAGTGAAGACAGCCTGGCGCGGGGTCAGGACATTCTGCCATACTATCCCTTTATAGTTAGCAAAAATAAGCTGGTGGGCTGTGTGTGTGGTGTGGAGAGGAGTGGTTTGTGTTTGGATTTTGGATCACTCCTGTTGGTGCTCAGAGTGTCCTTGTGTTGGCGCTGAGCCCTTCAGGACACCTTCCCTGCCTCTAAACTGGTAGTTGGTTCCTGTAAGCTAACTTTCTGGGTGCCCAGCCCTTGGGATTGCACTGAGAGCAAATGGATAGCAATTTCCCAGAGACTTTCTGGGGCAGAGACCATGACCAATTACTCTTGATAGATAGTCTCTACAACCTTGAAGGGTGTTGCAGCTCACTGCATCCAGAGGGGCAGGAGTGCGTGGTTGGGGGAGAGGACAGGGCGCATGTGGCCATGGACACAGTCCCTGGGCGCTGCAGTGTGATTGGAGGAACGAGGGTGGTGCTTTGTGCAGCCAGCACCAGGGCCTGGATGTGCCCCTGTGTTCTGTCCTGCACTGGAGCCTGGTGAAGGCCAGGAGTCAGTCCGGCCCCATGTCAGGTTGTTTGTCCCAGACAGAAATGAGCCCCAGCAAGTTCCTCTGTTGGTTGGGTCCATACTTACTCTTCAGCCCTTAAAGAGAAGACCCCAAAGGAAAAATGAGTGGGGGGAGGGCTGAAGCCATAATATAGCGGGGAGGGTACTTGCTTTGCATGTGGCTGACCCAGGTTCCAGCACCCCCTGCAGTCCCCCAAGTCCCACCAGCCCTGAGTGCAGGGCAAGAGTAGTGCATCATCCTGTGCTTCAGAGTTTTCCTTCCAAGGCCTGTGGAGATCGGACACTGGGGGATGACCAGCCCAGGGCTTCTGCAGCAGGTGAGGTGTATGTGGACAGCCAGCTTCTGGATTCTAGCAAGGTTTTCTGTGTGTGGATCACTTCTGGATACGTATTTTCTCATGTGGCTGCCTCTCCTATACTGGCTCAAGCCACCTGCCTACCTTATCTCCTGCCTTGACGGCTAAGCATCATACGTCTGTGTTGTATCCTGTTCTTCTAAACACATTCTACTGTTATATTAAAAAGTGCCGGGGCTGGAGCGATAGCACAGCAGGTAGGGCGTTTGCCTTGCATGCAGCCAACATGGCCGACCCAGGTTCGATTCCCAGCATCCCATATGGTCCCCCGAGCACCGCCAGGAGTAATTCCTGAGTGCATGAGCCAGGAATAACTCCTGTGCATCGCCGGGTGTGACCCAAAAAGCAAAAAAAAAAAAAAGTGCCGCCCCACCATGTGCCACAACAATAAATAGTAAATAGTACAGCAGGTAGGGCATTTGCCTCACACACGGCCAACCGGGGTTCGATCCCCAGCACCCCATATGGTCCCTTGAGCATTGACAGGAGTTCCTTAGTGTGGAGCCCGGAATAAGCCCTGAGCATTGCCGAGTGTGACCCCAAAACAGAGCCCCAAAACAAAGCAAAATAAAAAATGCGACTTCCCCACTACTACTCCCCCCCCCCCCCCCCCCCCCCCCCCCAGCACACACACATCTGGCCTTGCAGGGATCTGGAGATAGGAGAGACTTGTGTGAGTGGGACTTAGTAAGTTCAGCTTCATGGCACCAAGTGAATGGTAGTGGGTTAGACACAAGCTGTCAAGGTGTCCGTAGGATTTGGACATTAAGTTGTGGGTCAGGAAGTGAGGGACTTAGTACAGGGTATTGGGGGTCTGACTCCACCATGGATCTGACTTCAGGAGTATAGAAGCTCCCTCCTTCCTTTGGTCTCCATCTCCTTCCCTCCCTCCCTCCCTCCCTCCCTCCCTTCCTTCCTTCCTTACCTCCCTCCGTCCCTCCCTTCCTCTCTCCCTCCCTTCCTCCCTCCCTCCCTGCCTCTCTCCCTCCCTTCCTCTCTCCCTCCCTCCTTTCCTTCTTTATCTCCCTTCTTCCCTCCCTCTCTTCAGCTCTGCTAGGGCTCACTCCTGGTAGGTTTGGGAGACCATATGTGATGCTGGGGATTGAACCTGGGTCAGGTGTGTGCAAGGCAAGTGCCTTACCCACTGTACTATAGTTAGCACAGAAATGAGTTTTCCTGCCCTTGAGAATTGTATGAAAGATTTGCATACGAACTTGGAAGATTAAGTTAGAGTAGATAGTTGGGTCCTTCCCCAGATATCCAGGCCTGTCCTTTCCCCATGAACTTGTCTTATCCCTGACATTGCTCTGCTGTGAATGACCTCCCTGTCCTGTCCCACACACTACTTGCCTCCGGTGACGATGGGCTCTTGGTCCTGTCCCCGCATCGCTCTTGATCCTATGTCTGTGTTCCTTGGACTCCAACCATGTGTGCGTGGGCAAGATTCCTGTCACTGGGCCTTCCAACTGTATCCCAGCAGTTCTGTCATTCTGTCCCGGCTTTCCTAGTCTCTGGCCATGGCCACGTGCGTGTGGGTGAGACTTCTGTGCTCAGTGTCTGTCTCTGCCTCAAGCCCTGCCTGAATCTGAGCTTTCTTGGGTATCTGAGCCCTGCCTGTATTCGAATTGCCGCTATGAGGCCTGGCTGTCCTCGGCCATCTGTCTGGGTGGCCAGCTCTACCGGATCCTGTAGAGTGCTGGGTGGGTGAGTCCAGAGAGAGCTCATCAGGGAGAGATGGGACTGGGGGAGCTTCTTTTGTCCGTTGACATATCCCACCCTCAGCCATCTCATTATCTGTTGATTGGCTACTTGTTCCACAGGCTAGATTTAGAGTGACCACCTGGCATATCACTGTTGCTCCAGCCTGTGGTCTCTTAACATTTTCTTCCTCTGAAACAATCCTAACCAGTTTCTTCAGTGGGTCTGACTGACTTCAGGCTCTTTTGGGTGGCGTATTAAGTAACACGGGCTGGAGCGATAGCACAGCAGTAGGGCGTTTGCCTTGCACGCAGCCAGCATGGCCGACCCGAGTTCGATTCCTCCGCCCCTCTCGGAGAGCCCGGCAAGCTACCGAGAGTATCTCGCCCGCACGGCAGAGCCTGGCAAGCTCCCCGTGACGTATTCGATATGCCAGACACAGTAACAACGAAGTCTCCAATGGAGACGTTACTGGGCCCGCTCGAGCAAACCGATGAACAATGGGAGGACCGTGACCATGACCGTGATTAAGTAACATGCTGACCACCAGGGGGCCTCAGTGTTATAGCTCATTCACTAGGCTCTCTATAGGCTAACTCTTGACAGGATCTTCTGCAGTGGCCTCCAAAAGATTCTCCCTTTCTGGGCCAGAGGGAGAGTACAGCAAGGAGGGTGTCTGCCTGACAGCAGCCGGTCTGGGTTAGATCCCCAGCATACCATATCGTCCCCCAAGCCCACCAGGGTGCAGAGCCAGGAGTAACCCCTGAGCATCATGAGGTGTGACCCCCCAAATATTTTTTCCCTTTCTTTATACCTGTTTCCCTTTTCTCTAAAATGATATGTTTATTTATATTACATATTCTGACCCTTAATTGTTTTTGCTGATTGGTTATGCTCTGTGTAATGAAGGTTATCTATTGGAAAGACCATTCAGATAGTTTATGACCAAATGGATGGTTTACACCCTTACTCAAATAAGGATTTGTGGCTCCTACCAATCTTTTTTTTTTTCTCCCCACCTTTGGCTTTACCCAGGAGTGCTCAGGGGACCATATGGTGTGCCAGGGAATGACCCTGGGTCAACTGAATACAAGACAAGCATTCTACCTGTAGTGCTATTTCTTCGCCCCCAACCAACCAGATCATATTTGTAAATCAGGATGTATGGGTTGATTGTGGGACAACCAGCCAGATCACATGCCGTTGTGCAAATCATGGTTTGGTCAATTGGCCTATTAGATCATGTATGTAAAAAGAGTCCAAGCAGAGGTCTTTATCTGACTTCTCCAGTCTTCTCTCCTGCATTACACTCTTACTCTGGAATTATCTTTTTGTTGTTCTTTCTTTTGGTTTTAGTGCCACACCCAGCTGTGCTCAGGGCTTACTCTTAGCCCTGTCTCAGAAATCAGTCATGGTAGTGCTTGGGGGATCTTTGGGGGCCAGGGATCAAGCTGGGGTTGGCTGCATGCAGAGCAACCTCAGCCACCGTGTGAGCTCTCTGGCTCCCTCTGAAATAATCTTAGCAGTTGATGTTCCACACCCCCCAGCTCCCTTGTCTCTTGTGTCCATCCCAGCAGCTGCTATGATGAAATGGTTAGTGAGGCCCAAATTTCTGCCTTTACTTCCGTTTTGGCTTTCTGCATCTTTGACTTATGGAGGCCTGATAGCGTTCATGGGGGCCAGGACCTAATGACCAGCAAGGATGGCACATTTTGTTATATAAGGGCCACATGCAGCAGTGCTCAGGGATCCTTCCTGGTGGGCTTGGGGGACTTTATGGGGGGTGCTGGAAGTGAAATCTGTGTTGGCCACATGCAAAGCAAACGTCTTACCTGCGGCTCTACTTTGACTCCTGCTCAAGGATGACACTTTTGTTCCAATGAAAGCGTGTGAAATAAACAGGGTTGCAGGTGTAGCTCTGTAGGAGCTGCCTGGGGCCTCTGCTTAAAAATCTGATGGAAACCTTTGGCGATGGACCGAGTAGCTGTGAAAGGCAGCCCAACAGGCAAGGCCCGCCAGGGACCGCCCCCTGCTGGGTTGGGATTCCATCCCCAAATTGAGCAGACTTTCAGGAGGGCTGCAGTTTCACTTAAATATCTCATTTTTGAAATTGGATCAGTGTGGCCAGAATTCCTGGTGTCTGTCCTCTTGTGTGTGTTCTGGAGAGATTGGTGTTGGCCAGCACCTCACCCTCCGGATACCTAGTGAAGAACAGCTCATGAGTGTACGACAGTGAGAACACAGCCATGGTTCTCTTGGCCAGGCAGGCAGTGTTAGCACACGAGGCAGAGTGCAGGAGGGATGGGATGGACTCCTGGTGACCGGAGGTCCTCAGGCTACCTCAGAGGCCACAGACAGGTGCAGAGGACAGGGGATGGTTTGGGGGGAAGTCTTACCTTAAGGCTCACCCACCAGATCATGTATGGCTATGAAGGAAAACAGTCCATGTGTGTGGAGATGCTTGTTGGGCCTAAGGTTTCCCCCCACGTTCTTCCTCTGGATAGCATCACCTGGGCCAGGTTCCCATTCAGATCGTGCAGTTAGGTGCTCTGCCGTGTCAGTAAGAGTGAGGAGCCACCTTAGGTCTTAAGGAGATAGACAGCATAAAAGCGTTCTGGGTAGTCCCGCCTAGGCCCTGGAAGATAGAAGTGCCCTGAAGGGCATCACTGGAGTTTAACCTTGGTCCTAGGACTGGTGTTCCCATGTATGTTTCAGGAGAATGATTTGTGTGGCCTTAGTGTTCCAGCTGGGTGGGTGGTGGCAGATGCCTGCTACTCAGGGCTGGGAGTCTCTGGGAGTGAGAGTTGGGTCACATGTGGACTCGGTTTCTTTTAGGGAATGGGGTTCCAAAGAAAGCAAATATTAAAGTAATGATAGTGAGTGTTAATAAATAACAGTAAATTAAATGACTTTCAGCCCAGTGCAAACACTCTAAGCGAAGGGCGGGGGACAGGCCAGGTGTCCAGAGTTAGTGTTAATGTGGGAGCCTGAGGCCCAGTCCTTGGCACCACATAGTCCCCTGCACGTGGAGCTGGGAGTGGGCATTAGGTACTGCCCACCAGGTATGATCACACCCATAGAGCAGGTGGAGAGGCAGGGTGGCTTCACGACAGTGCCTGTCTCAGAAGAGAGAGCAAAGCTATCTCTGGATTCCAGCACAGATCCTCTGAGGATGTGTACTCGCTTGCACGTCTCCAAATTGTAGGAGAGAGTTCTGGAAGACGCTCCGGGCAGTGTGGCCCTTCTGCTCTTAGGGCACAGTTGTGGGACCAACTGGAAGCACAGAGGCTGGAGGTGCGACTTGCACTCCCTTGGCCACATGCTGATGTCTCTTCTCATCTGTCCCCAGGTACGGGTCCTGGCGGGAACCTGTCAACCCCTACTACGTCAACTCTGGCTACGCCCTCGCCCCGGCCACAAGTGCCAATGACAGTGAGCAGCAGAGCCTGTCCAGTGATGCCGACAGCCTGTCCCTCACCGACAGCAGCCTGTAAGTAGCCCTCCCTTGGGCCTGGCCCGCCTTCATCTCCCTAGAACGTACCTTGTGGCCTCTTCCCCACTTAATGCGCCTGATCGGGAGCAGGGGGGTTGTTCTGAAGCCGTGGTGTTTGTGGCAGCTTGTTGGAAGTGGAGGAAGTGACTGGGGTCTCTGCAGTGCCCTGTGAGCTACGTGAGGCTGGCCAGAGGCCTGTGGGCACTGCACACCAAGCATAGAAGCGGACATTGCAGTAGGGCTGATCTGTCTGGGAATGCTTGGGAGCCTCTTGATTCCTGGTCTGCAAAGAGCTCTGGGGGCCGCACATGGGCTTTGCATGTAAGAGGCACGGTTGTTCCCAGACTGCATGACCCCCTGAGTACCAAGTACCACCAGGAGCAATCCCCAAGCACAGAGCCAGCTCCAAAATGCTTGTTTTGGGGCTACACCTAGCTGTGCTCAGGGGTTATTCCTGGCTCTTTTTTCAGCGATCACTCCTGACGGTGTTGAGGGGATCCTGTGTGACCCAGGGATGAACTTGGGTCAGTCATGTGCAAGCAATCACTCTGCATGCTCCATTACCTCTTTGTGCCTGCCCCTCCACTCCCCCACCCATTTTATTTAGATTTTGGGCTACATACAGCATTGCTCAGGGCTTACTCCTAGCTCTGTACTTGGAGACTGTGTGGGGTGCCAAGGATCTAACCCCAGGTTGTCTGTGAGCAAGGCAAGCGCCTTACCTGCTGCTGTACTATCGCTCTGTGCCCCACCCCAAACCCAATTTTTTTTCCCCCTTGCTGGTTTGTTTTTTTTCTTTGCTTCTTTTGGGTCAGACCCAGTGATGCTCAGGGATTACTCCTGGCTCTGCGCTTGGGAACAAATGGGATGCCGGGGATTGAACCTGGGTCGGCCGTGGATAAGGCAAAGACCCTACCTACTATACTATCTCTCTGGTCTCCCCTCTCATTTTTTTAAGTCTCAATTCCTTTTTTTTTTCTTTTTTGGGGTCACACCCAGCAATGCTCAGGGGTCTCCTGGCTCTGCACTCAGGAATTACTCCTGGCTGTGCTCAGGGAACCATGTGGGATGTGGGAATCAAACCTGGGTTGGCTGCATGCAAGGCAAATGCCCTACCTGCTGTGCTATTACTTCAGCCCCCTAAGTCTCAATTCTTACCCCGCAAAATAATGTGTTTGGGAGTATTTTAAATATTTTTTTAAAAATATCTGATATTGGGGCTGGAGTGATAGCACAGCGGGTAGAGTGTTTGCCTTGCACGTGGCCAACCCAGGTTCGATTCCCAGCATCCCATATGGTCCCCTGAGCATCGCCAGGAGTAATACCTGAGTGCATGAACCAGGAGTAACCCCTGTGCATCGATGGGTGTGACCCAAAAAGCAAAAAAAAAAAAATCTAATATTCTATTTATCTTGATTTACAGTAAGACTCAAATGTAGAGGTGGGGTCAGAGAGATAAAACAGGTGTTAAAGCACTTGTCTTACAAGTGACCCACACTCATTTGATCCCAGAATCACACATGGTCCCTGAGCAACCCCTCCACAACCCCCTCAAAATAAGTAGTGTGTGTTCACAAAATATATGGGTACTGTGTGCCGTGTGCATTCGGTGGTCAAGAGCCGCCTTCCATCCTCCCCTGGCCTCCCTAGTAGAGACAAGAGGGGACTCTGTCACAGTTCTCTAGGACTGCATGTCTGTGTGATTTACAGAGGTAAAACAGTCCAGCAGAGGCAATTCTCGGGGTGAGAAACTCAAGGAGATGCTCTGTCTCCTAGGGATATCTGTATAGCTTTTCTCTTTCTCTCTAGTCAATTAAGTCAAGCTATTGATTCTACTTCTTACCAATACTTGCAGTTGTTCAGATAAACACAGGAAGAGATAAAGATCCCAAAACTTAGTTGTCTGGACTCTGAGAGCAAGCAAGGCTTTTACTGTAAGTCGCAGACTGAGTCCTCAGGTCAGTTCATTTGGCCTTCCCCATGAGATTCCTGTCTCTTAAATAGCTTGCATCAAAACCATGCATTTATGTTTTCTAGACTGTCCTATTTTGATGCCAGGGTAGCTTTGCTGCTCGCCCTGGGTCCATCCCAGCCCTGCAGTAGGACCTTCCTTTTGGGTGTTAGGAACTACAGCAACCGAAGCCTGAGTCAAGTAATCATGACCGATGCCTAGGAGTAGATATATTTTCGAGTCAGTCAACTCCCAAATACTAGGAGCATAGCACTAAGGTCTTTCTGTGTTTAAGCAAAGAACATTTCTCTATAGTAAAATATGAAAAGGCTATTAGAGGAAGTAGAAAAACATGCAATTCACTACAAATACAAAATTCTGAATTACCAGAAAGTTTTGGCTTATAAGTAACTGATTGACTTGGGGAACTGACAGTGAGATGTAAAATACATAGGAAAGGTTAAAGATAAACTCAGGATTAGGGATTCTCACAAGAGCACTGTAGTCTACGGCCATATCACCCTGAACGCGCCCGATCTTGTCACAAGAGCACAGTAAACTTCTCTGGGAGGAGAAAAAGGCAATTCACTGATGAAGCCTAAAACACTTAGGGTTGGGGCTGGACGATAGCACAGCGGGTAGGGCATTTGCCTTGCATGTGGCCGACCCGGGTTCGAATCCCAGCATCCCATATGGTCCCCTGAGCACCGCCAGGAGTAATCCCTGAGTGCAGAGCCAGGTGTAACCCCTGAGCATCGCCAGGTGTGACCCAAAAAGAAAAAAAAATAATAAAATAAAACACTTAGGGTTAATATCCAACAATTAGGAATAGCCAAGAATTTGTATTGTAAGATTGTAGCAGATAACTGAAGCAGTATTGTCTTAAAAAAACTAAAACTGACATCTGCTCACTCCTGACACTGTTCAGGACTCACTCCTGGTGAGGGCTAGGAGACCATATGTGGTCCTAGGGGTGGAATTCAGATTGGCTGTGTGAAGGCCAGCACCTTTCCTGATGTGCTGTTGGTCCGACCCCGTGGTCTACATCTCCGGGGCAGCTGCTCTCTGTGTCTCAGCCTCAGGCCTTGTGTTCCTGGGCCCTCGCCAGCGGTCAGATATCTGCCTGTCAGGGTACATGAGAAACGAGTTGGTGACTCCAGGGTGAAAGCTTCAGAGCACGTAGGAATGTTTCAGTGCACTGAAATCTGTCTGGCATGGCCCGTTCCCCTGGGACATGCAGGCACAGCAGGAGGGAGTGCCGCACTCTGCCTGGCTTTGCCCAACCAGATCCAGGGCCTGAGGTTGTGGTGGTTGGCGAGAGCTGGTGGCTGTGTTAGCCTGTCTATAACCCCGCAGACCCTGGAGTCCAGAAATTCCCTCAGCCCCTGACACCTCGAACCACCTCTGCCCGCCCTGCTGCTGCTTGTATCTGCGAAGGAAATGAGACCCAGGTCCACTCACCCCTCCAAAGCTGACAGTGGCCTGGGCATCCCTCAGGGAGCAGGAGATGGGCCCAGCAGTTGACTCCTGTATCTTGTGGCACCTTGATCACTGTGTTTGAGTGTCTAGTAATTCCTGTCAGGCTTGAAAGCTGTGAAAGCTGCTCTGGCCCCGGCAGGCTTGTCCTGAACCCAACAGACAGCAGTGTGTACTCGCATGGTGGGTCCTGAATCCCAGGGACTGTGGCGTGTGTTCACGTGGTGGGTCCTGAGTCCCAGGGACTGTGCTGGTGCTTACTCATGTGGCTGCTTGCTCCTTGCAGGGATGGGATCCCGCCATACCGGACCCGCAAACAGCACCGCCGGGAGATGCAAGAGAGTGTGCAGGCCAACGGGCGGGTGCCTCTACCTCACATCCCTGTGAGTACTGCTACCCCTCCAGTGCCCTGCACCGCTGAACTCGATCACCCTGAGGCTGCAGCAGGAGGAGGACATAGAGGCCGGGTCAGAAGTCACTGCTCTAGAATCCATGGAAGGTTCAGGAAGGCGCACCCCCTTCAAAGAAAGCTACCAGGAAAAGCGGAAGCTAGCCTGGGTGGGGGCCTACAGGAGCCCTGCTCATCCCAACCACATTAGTGCTTATGCAGATCCTGTGCAGTGGAGTACCTGTACAGGAAACCCAGTGACCCTGAGAGTCTGGGTCCAGAGTGCAAGAGGCACAGACAATGTGGGCTGGGCTGCGGTGAGAGCTCAGTTACCTTGTTAGCATTTCTGTCACCTGCTCACTCGCTTGCCACCGCTGATGGTGGCCCCATTACATACTGCCCCTCACATCCCTGCCCCTCCTACACTCCCCCGTTCACCTTCCTTTCCTTGTGGGCAGTTCCCCCAGCACCCACCCTCTGTCACTTAGACCTTGGTGACTTCAATTTTTAAAATGTATTTTGGGGGGTCTGAGCAATAGTACAGTAGATTGGACATATGCCTTGCATTCGGCCAACCCAGGTTTGATCCCTCTATCTCATCTGGTCCAGGAGTATGGCCAGGAGTAATTCCTGATCATGGCCAGGAGTAATCCCTGAGTGAAGAGCTAGGAGAGACCCCTGAACATTGATGGCTGTGACCCAAAAAAGCCAAACTCCCCCCCCCCCAAAGAAAAACCCAGAAATGTATTTTACTGGACTGGAGCATAATACAAGGGTTACAGCACACTCCTTGCTTGCAGCTGAATCTGGTTTTGCATGCACCAGGATTAGTTCCTAAATATTGTGTGGCCCAAAACGCATGCATATTTTGTTATAAAGAACTTTTCTTGAGAAAGGTGGGAAATTGGAATGAGATCTGATCAGGTTAGAGGATAATAGGTCATGACGTTTTTTATAATTATCCAGTGGTTAGATACCAGAATATACTCTTTTATCTCTTAGCCAGTGGGTTGGGGTTTTTTCTGGGGTGGGTGGAATTTTCCTGGTGCAGGTTTATAGGCATAAAAGGTTGTGGACAGTTCTCCCCCAGCATCCTCAAGTGGTCTCTGCTGACTCACAAACTCTATGTGCTGGTGTGCGTGTGCCTGTGAGGGTACCTCATTGTGCCTGCATGTGTGCTGGTATGTGTGCTGGTGTGCATGTACCTGAGGGTGCCTGCATGTGGTCTGGTGTGCATGTGCTTGAGGGTGCTTGCATGTGTGCAGGTGCGCATGTTCCTGATGTGTGCTGGTGTGCACGATTTTGAGGATTCCTCACTCCTGGGTCATTGTGTGTGAAGCAAAATTTTGACCGGGAATGGTAGAAACGAGAGCAGCAGGAGGCTGATTCCCTGATGGAAAGGGAACCCAGCCTTCTCATTAAAACAAACTGGGATTCCTCTCACCCGAGTGTGTGGTTCATGGCCTGTTCCCCTGCAGCGCACCCACCGAATGCCAAAGGAGATCCGCGTGGAGCCGCACAAGTTCGCTGCGGAACTCATCCACCGCCTGGAGGCTGTGCAGCGCACACGGGAGGCTGAGGAAAAACTGGAAGAGCGGCTGAAACGAGTCCGGATGGTGAGGATATTTGGGGTACTTCTATTCCAGCCTGATGGGTTGGGGGTGCGCCGGCTCCTGCCTCAGCAAGGCCTCTGCTCTGGATGCAACCAGATGTTAGGGTCAGAGTTTCCTATTCCAGCTTCTTGTCACCTTGAGAGGACTCTGGTCTGCAGCAGACACCACGTGTCTGCTCAGAGACAGCCCTCTGGGCAGCAGGCTGCGGGTAAAGCACAGCCGGGCTCCTTAGGAATCCACGCGCGAGAGCCCCATCCTTTGCAGAGTGTTCCCACTAGCACTCGTGCCCTTGAGCACATGGAGCTGTTTCCTGCATGTGCAGCGTGGGAGCTGCTGTGGGAGCTGTACAGTCAAGCAGGATTCAGTTGAGCCTCGGGAGGTTTCACTTACCCTTTCCTGTGGCAGCTCCCATCATGCCCTTGCCAGACCACTGGTGGGGTCTGTGTCCTCACCAGCACCTCCCCCAGGGTCTTTTAGCAGTGTGGCTACAGTGCTCTGGCAACCTTCTATGAAAAGGCCAGCTCTTGCACAGTTGCTGTAGGACCGTGTGTTTCAGCTGGAGCTGCATTCTGGTTTGCCTTTGTGACAGCTGGTGCCCCACTTTCCACGAGCATCGTCTCCGTGTGATGGTTGCTCCAGGGATGTCACTGTGACTATTGTGGGGTAGGGTGTTACTGCTAGTGGTGCTGGGACTGCGCAATGCCCAGGACTCCCAAGTGCAAAGCCTAGACCTTCAGTGAGCAGCTGAGAGGAACATGCTCTCGCTGTAACATGGCTAGTGTTGTAGGAATCTTGGGAAGATTTGCTGAAATCAGCTCCCATGATTTCCTGTGCAGATCTGGGTCCTGGCTTACTGGCAGTATATGCCCATTTCCTGGTGGTTTGAGGTTCGGGATATTTTCAGAGCAGCTTCAGTGATTATCTTAGCACAGTGTCTGTCCTGGGAGTGTGCTGTGACGGTGCCTCTGCGCCTCTGCGGTCCTGGATGCGGACTGTGGGAGATGCACTTTCTCAGTGACCAGGTCAGGCGGGCAGCAGTCCTCGCCTCAGCTGGGCTGCAGCAGGAGGCCTGGTCGGGCGCCTTCCTTGGCAGAACCATTCCCACCATCTCTCCTCACTTCAGGGTGCTGCACAGCTTCTGCTGGAGTCACAGTTGAACAGAAAACACTTCAGGTTCTTAATGAGCTTGATTTCATTGTAAAATTTGAAAAATAAAAAATGTTGACTGAACAACTAATAACATTTCGTGCCGGAGAACACAGTGGGTCAGGTGCTTCTCTGCATTCATCCAAGTCAGATTGAATCCTGTTCCCCATGTGATGCTCTGAACACGGCCAGGGCCCCAGAAACCAGAAAGAGGAAATACAGGAGCATTAGGGCAGTGAGGGGTGGGGAGGCCCCCTCAGCCTGAGAACCATGCCAGAGAGCCACAGGCCCCAGCTGCCTCTGTCTGTGATGTATGATCTGTTGCCTTCTCCCCACAGGAGGAAGAAGGTGAGGACGGTGATGGGCCGTCGGGGCTGGCAGGCCCTTCCCACAAGCTGCCCTCAGCCCCTGCCTGGCACCACTTCCCTCCCCGCTACATAGAGGCGGGCTGTGGGGGTCTGCGGGATGCGCACGAGGAGGACCCTGAGAGTATCCTGGACGAGCACGTGCAGCGTGTGCTCAGGACGCCCGGCTGCCAGTCGCCAGGGCCTGGCCGCCACTCCCCCGACAGCCTGCACGTGCCTAAGATACCAGGGGTACTGGGGGTGGCCGCCCCTGGGCACAGCAAGCACCTGCCCAAGTCTGGGGCCAAGCACAGCCACCACCACAGTCACCACAGCGCCACCAGACCCAAGGAACAAGCTGAGGGCGAGACCGCCCGCCGGGCACAGAGCAACTTCCCATGGGGCCCAGATCTGCACGGTGCTCACTCAGCCAAGACCCGCAGCCACGCCGAGAGCCTGGGCACAGCGCCTGGGGCCGGTGACAGTCTGGCCCACGGGTGAGCACCCCTTTCTTCTCTGTTTCTGCCATTCCTGGCCTAGGATCAAAGCTGTACGCTGAAGGTAGTGCCCCCAGTCCCTGTGCAGCGCACTAAAGCAGGGCTGGAGAGGGCTCAGGCTCTGCATGCACTGCTGGGTGTCACCCCCAAACCCTATTTCTGGCCCCAGAAAAGTTTTCATGCTAAACTTCAGCTGTGGAGATGGTGGTCACACCATGGCCACTGTTTGGGGGTCTGGGAGAACAAGGAGCAAGTCCCGTGGCCCAGCCCTGTGGGGTGCGGGGGGCAGGGGACAGGCGAGCCTGCTGTGACCAGCTCTCACCCTGACAGCGGAAAGGCTGGCCTGACCTCCAAGCGGAGCGGCAGAAAGGCTGAGTCGGGGCGGAGTGGCGGCGCGGAGGGCCCCGGCCCTGCTGAGGAGGTGGAGAGGAACCAGAAGATCCTGCAGTGGATCATTGACGGAGAGAAGGAGATCAGCAGACACAGGAAGACTGGCCACGGGTGAGCCTCAGGCCCAGGAGCCCATGGCATGGTCCCAAGTCTGATGCCGAGGTGTGGTCAGGCTTGCCTCTCTGGCACCTCTGTCACAAGTTAGTTTCTGGGCAGCAGCACCTCCATGTGGGCTGACCTCAGCTACTGGGTATAGAGTTAGGCAGTCCCTGGTGGGCACTCCAGGCAGACCCCCCCACTGAGTTTAGGCCCTGGGGCACCACCCAGCTCGTCTTTCCCTGGAACACGGGGCCGGGATCAGGTAACGGCTGGACACATCCACCCAGATCACTTTACCATTCCTGTCGTGAAGGCACTGAGAACCCCTTGTGGGGCCCTATGCCTCCCGATTCCCTTTTCTGGGGCTGTTTTTTCTGGCTGTGGGAATCAGCTGCCATGCCTGGCCAGGCCTAGGCGTCAGACTCAGGCCTGGGGCTGCCTCTCACTTTCCACTTGGTTTCTCACCTCTCCCCTAGCTGCCCTGTGAGCTCACACACAGGCTTCCCATGGGGCGCTCCTCTTCCGTGGTGCTGCCAGAGGCCGAGGACTCATCTCTTTATTTGGGGCTTGTGTGTTCTAGTCCTGAAGCCCCTGGGCCAGCAGTCAGAGCTTTTGCTTAGTGCCTGGGTGCCTGCTGGCAGCCCTGGCAATCAAACTCACGGTCTTGACTGGGATACTGACTTGGGCTTTGCTGCAGGAACCCCGGTGTCATCCCTGGGTTCCTGCAGGGAACAAGGAGAAACCCATACTCGGGACCTGGCGTTGGGAAAGTACTAAGCTGCCCCCTGGACCTTTCGTTTTTGTGTGTTAACGGGGAACAAGAAACAATTCACTTAGCTATTGAGAGTGGCAGTGTCCAATGCAAGGTTTTCAGACTTTCTGTTTTGGGACTTTGTTTCTGTTTTCAGCACCTATAGGGCTCTGAGTGTGAAGCCCATATATATGCCTAGCCAGTATCTCCAGGAGAGGCCTGGCCTTAGCTGTGTCAGCAGGGCCAGAGAGAACTCCAGGGGCTGAGTATAGACTTGAATATAGGAAGGAGACCAAGGTTAGGTTTGGTTCGGTTTTGGTGTTTGGTTTTTGAGCCTCACCTGACTGTGCTTACACCTGGCTGTTAAGAGACTATTCCTGGTGGTGCTTGGGGATTATATGGGATGCCTGATATCAAACCTGGGTCAGCCATTTGTAATGCAAGTGCCCTCCCTGCTGTACTATCACTCCAGCCCAGAGACCCAAGATTTGATCCCCGGATCCCCCAATCAGTACTATCCCCAAATCCCATTCACCTTCCAAGCAACTATTGTATTAGAAAACTGGAAAGGGAAGTCAGTGTCTTGTGGGCCAGGAGGAATGGCTCTATGGAACACAGGGACAGTTCTGCCCAGGGCACACACTGCCAGCTACCTCTTGCCAGGGTCTCACATGCCTGCCCTTGTTTCCTTATTCCCAAAGGTCTTCTGGGGCCAAAAAACAGCAGGTCCATGAGAGCTCCAGGCCCTTGTCCATCGAGCGTCCTGGGGCTGTGCATCCCTGGGTCAGTGCTCAGCTCCGGAACTCGGTCCAACCCTCACATCTCTTCATTCAAGACCCCACGATGCCGCCCAACCCAGCCCCCAACCCTCTGACCCAGCTTGAGGAGGCCCGCCGACGTCTGGAGGAAGAAGAGAAGAGAACCAGCAAACTGCCTTCAAAGCAGAGGTTCGGGGTGTGGGGACACAGGCTGCTCCAGGTGTCACTGCTGTCAGGGGTGCTGTGCCCAGTGACTGAGTACTGAGTGGGGAAGGTGAATTGTCTTGTGCCTGTGGTGTGGGTCCCAGCTGCCCCCCCCGCCACCTACCCCGCAGAATCACCATGCAAATACCAATGTCCACCATGGGCATGGGCCTCCTGAGGGCCTCCCGTGAGGCAAGTATACAGGAATGGGTTGTATGCACGGACATGGGTTCCACCAGTGCATCCCCTCCTAACCTGAAATGGGGTGCTGAGTCCTCACTCAGCCCTCCCAGATGTGGGGATCTTGTCCAGGGTGAGGGACTTGGGGGCAGCTGGGCTCCATGGGGCCAAGGGGTGGCATGGTCCAGAGTCCAGACTTGCTGGTGCAGGGCTGAGGTCCTCTCCAGAGGCCTCTGCTAGAGCGAGGGGACAGACCCAGGGCTCCTGATGGAGCGCTGCACTCGGGGATCCTGGCCTGACAGAAGCCACTAGTGTGGCTGGACTCAGGGTGTCTGCTGTACCCTGGGAAAGGCGTGGCCAGCTCCTCTCCCCGAGGGCTCTTGTCCTGTGGGGAGCTGTGCAGGTGACAGAGATAGAGTGCCCGCCACATCCGAGACCATTCCGAGCTCCGAGACCATTCTTGGTGGTGGTTGGGGACCATATGGGATGCCGGGGCACGCAGAATGGCTATTCCATAGGGACAGCTGGACATAGGCCTTCCCTCTGTCAGGGACATCACCTAACACGTGGTGTCAGAACCTGCAGGTCAGCACGGGGCAGCTCTGCCTCTGCAGCTCCTTCCCTCCCCTGCCCCTCTACTCCCTTCCCACCCCATCCCTTTCCTGTGCTGCCTCAGGGTTCAGCTGTGACCCGCCCTGCTCAGACAGGTGGGCGGCACATCCACAGGACACAGGTGGAGATGGGGACCTGCATCCCCCAGTTCCTGCCAGGCCACTGGATCTTGAAACCTCCCCATCAAGCCACTGGGTGGCCCTGGGAGAGGTGGGGAACCCACAGAGTCCCTGACCTGGAAGGAGGGAAGCAGGTGGTTAGCCCCTGCACTGCCGGGAGACAAGGGCTGTGCCAGGCCATCCCAGGTACCCAGCAGTGAGGCCACAGAGGCTGCTGGTGGCCTGGGCCAGCAGTCGCTCGGCTCAGTGCTGGACCGGCTCCCCTGTCTGCTCCACCATGGGACAGGCTTGTTTCCGGGTAGATCCAGTCTGCGCTTGCCAAATGTCTGCTGCAAGGAGCCTGACCTGTCATTAAACGAATGGGCACACCCACCCTGCAACCTCCCAGGGTCCACTGTTTTACACGCCCAAGTGCCAGTCGGGCTGGACAGTGTGAACAACAGACGCTGCGTGCACCCTGGCTGTACATGTGAGCCCTGAGCAGTGCCTCTTGGCCCCGCCCCGTGGGGGGCACCACACTCACCTTACGTGTCCCTACAGGACCAAGTCCCAGAGGAAGGGCGGTGGTGGCAGCCAGCCCTGTGACAGCATTGTCGTGGCCTACTACTTCTGCGGGGAGCCCATTCCCTACAGGACACTCGTACGGGGCCGTGCCGTCACCCTAGGCCAGTTCAAGGAGCTACTGACCAAGAAAGGCAGCTACCGGTAAGAACCTGGCAGACTGTCCCCACCACGTCCCTCCTTGACCCCTAAGCACCAAAAGGCGTTGGCCCCAACAAGCCCCATGTCCTCCATCTCTAAGCCCTTTCCTGCTGGCTCCCACCAGGGGAACACAGGGCCAGGGCAGTTCCTTTGGCTGTGAGAGGGGTTCTGGAGGGGTGTCACAACAGGGGGGTGGTGGGCTCAGCCCTTGGGATCAGATTTTGCACCTGAAAGCACCCCAGAGACCAAGGCAGGAGCTCAGGGCAGCAGCAGACTAACATCTCCCCTCCTCGCCTGGCAGATACTACTTCAAGAAAGTGAGCGACGAGTTCGACTGTGGAGTGGTGTTTGAGGAGGTCCGGGAGGACGAGGCCATCCTGCCCGTCTTTGAGGAGAAGATCATTGGCAAAGTGGACAAGCTGGACTGATCACAGCCTTCACAGTGCCATGTGCTGCCACGTATATGGCCGATACCTTTCCTGGCGGGAGGCCTTGGGCTGCCTTTGGGCGCTCATGTGTCCAGGTGGACAGGGTCCCTCCAGTGACCTCGCATGCTCCTGCCCCCTGTTGGCAAGGAGGGAGCCTGCCCTTGCCTCCGGAGCAATACTTGGGAAGCCCATGAGGCCAACCCTAGCACTCAAGCCAGGCTCTGAGCCTCCTGGTCTCCTTGTGGTCTCGCCAGGACAGGCCCAGGGCCTCTGCTTGTCCACGTCACCGAGTGCCTTTGACAGTGTTGGTGCAGCTGCGCGGATCCGGCCACGGCACCTGCTGGGCCAGCCTCTCCAGCCCCGGGCCCACAGCTTAGCGGGCCCATGTAAATATGTACATTTCTCAGGCCAGGGCCAGCAAGGGCTGCCCCAGGCCCGTTTTTCATGCGCTGACTTGTACAATTATCTTTTCAAAGGTACTTGGATAATAATAAAGCTTTTTTTGACCTTCCCTAACTGTAGTGAGTGTTCCTGCTGCTCCCATGGCTGGTCACATGGATAGGGCCCTACAGAGGGTGGGCCATGGTAGTGGCAATGCCTGTGCCCAGGCCTCTATGAGGGACCCACCCGAGAGGGCTCAGGAACCACACAGTAGTCCAGAACCACCCAGAACAAGCCTTTTATTTGGGTGCAGAGGCGCGGACACGGATGTGGGGCCCTACAGCTCCTCCTTGGGCTCCCGCGTAGAATTGTCTGGGGTCTCCTGCAGATGTCAGGTACAGCTCAAAGTGGGGCCTCCTTTTGGCCCACCCTCCCTGTTGGCCCCATGCCAGCACCCAAAAGGCCTGGAGCCATCAGGTACCCACCGGTGCTGGCTCCTCCACAGGGAGCTCGCCCCCACTGTCCAGGAACTTGGAAAATGTCTCCAGGTCTCTGTTGCTCTTATACTCAATCACCTGAGAAGGGCAACAGTAGGGTAGGGGTGCACCCTCAGCCCCTTCCCAGACCAGCCCCTCCGGGGAGCAGGCCCAGCATGCCCTCCTCACCTTGCGCCCCTGGCCGGCGGGGAAGTACTTGAGTGTGGGGAAACCGTGAATGGCCAAGGCCTCTAGCTCGTTGGCTGTGGCATCCAGCTCAGCAATGATGATGTCCTCATGGTCCTTGTACTTCTCAGCCAGTGCCTCCCAGGCCGGGGCCATCTCTTTGCAGTGGGTGCACCAGGGGGCATCTGAGGTGGGGGGCACATTGGCAAAACCAACGGGCATCCCCATGCCCGCCCTCCCATTGCCCCACCTGACACTCACAGAACTTTACAAACACATTCTTGGTCTCATCAAAAGCCACCTGCTCGAAATTCTTGCCCACGAGAGTCTTGACTGGCTGCTGGTCCCAGTCCGGGGGGATGTCCTGGCTCTTAAGATAGGGCTGCGGAGTACCAGCAGGTGTTTCTCTGGGCTCTCTCCTAAGAGCTGGCCCCGCCCCCCGGGTGCCACCGCGCAGCGGACCTTGAGCTTGCCATCAAGGACTGAGTGGCAGAAGGCAGTGACCGAGGCTGCAGTGACAGGGGTCCCATCCGTGAGAGCGTACTTCTTGGTGGTCTCCACATTGATGAAGCGCAGGGTGGGGGCCTCCTCGGCCTTGAGGCCAAAGTACTGCAGCACGTGGGCATTGTCCGCAGCCACATCCACTACTACGAAGAGCACCTGCCAGCAGGCAGTCCTAGCTTGGTCCACTCCCACCCCATCACCGGCCCCCCACGCCCCGATGCCCTATCAGTACCTGCCCTCGGAATGGCGGAGCCGCCTCCCCAAACCCAGCCAGCAGCTCCCTGTGGGGGCTCAGCGTCTGGTTGACAAACAGCAGAAGGTGGTTGAGGATCCTCGCCCCGAAGATCTTGGGTGAGGTCTGCGGACGGGTGGGCTTGAGGTCAGGGCGGTCACTGCTGGGCACCGGCCCTGCCCACGCCCGTGCTCGCGCCCCCCAACTCACCTTGCTATTGAACTCCGTGACCAGTCGCATGCTGTGTGTGAGGAGGAAGCGGGACAAGTCCCCCTGGTCTAGGCCCAGCTCCTCGTCCACAGGGAAGTCTGCCCGGCCCTCGTCAAACTGGACAACACACATGGGCTCAGCTGGAGCCCCAACCCTGGCCCCGACCCCTGCAGCCCCAAACCACCTTCTTGAAGAGGACCACGGTGTCCTTTGTGAGGCCGAACTTCTGGAAGAGCTGCGGGCGGTCAGTGAAGCCGAAGGTCATGTCCAGGGCATCCTGAGCCAGGGCCAGGAAGGTGGCCACATCCTCATCCTGCAGATCCTGTAACAGTCAACCCCACAAGTCTGGCTACCACCTGGCCTGGCCTCTCCAGCACCCGCTGCGTGACCTGACCCCCACCCAGCTCACCTGGAAAAAGCCAATGACTACCACATCCTGGGAATCAATCAGCGCCTGGGCCCCCTCCTCGTCCTCCAGCTGTGTGGCACTGGACCCCACCCGCCTCCTCAGCCACTCGGCAATGCCTTCAGCCTCCCGTGGGCCTGTGGAGAATTCCCTGAGTTGGAGTCAGCCCTTCCCCCCCAACACATGCCAACCTGTGCTGTGTACCCCCAGTGTCCCTTATACCAACCTATTCTGTGTACTCCCCATGCCAACCCATACTGTGTATCCCCCAGTGCTCCACACATGCCAACCTATACTGTTTAGCCACCTAGCCCCCCCATGCCATGTGTACTATGTGTCCCCCAACCCCCCATAAATGCTAAACTACATTTCTGTGCACACACACACACTTGTATACTCCCTCTCCCCCACCTACACACAAATGAACACATTTCCGCACCTGGTCCTTGTCCCCGCACCTGCGTATGCACACACCTGTGTATTCGTACCCTGTGTACTCCCCTGTCCATTCAAACCTGTGCACTCACGCCCGCACCTGTGTACTCCTCAGGGTGAGTACGGTTCCCGTCCCGGAAGAACTTGAGCGTGGGGTACCCCGTCACAGCAAACTCTTTGGTCAGCTCTGGCTCCGAGGGCCCGTCCACCTTGGCCAGCCGAACTTTGCTTGACTCTGCTGCCAGTAGCCCTGCTGCCTTGCTGTACTCGGGGGCCAGTGCCTTGCAGTGCCCACACCAGGGGGCGTCTGGGGAACAGGGCCATGAGTGCCCCAGCCCTGGACCCCATCCCCACCCTGCTTGGCCAGCTGCTCCCTGAGGTCTGTCCCCCAGGTGCTGGATGCTGAGACCAGGTTCCCGAGGCAAGACCAGCCCTATCCTGACATGAAGCTGCCCAGCCCCCTTCCTCCCTGCTCCAGAGCTGGGCTCGGCCCACTGGGAACTGTGTCAGCCTGCGTGAAGAAGTGTGCAAAAGGCAAGGTCTGACCCTCGACCGAACATCTGCCAGACAGCAGCCCCGCACCCCTGGGTCTGGCCCCGCCGCCACGTCACAGGGAAGCCCCCACACCGCACTCACAGAACTCCACCAGCAGGGCGGGGTGCTCACGCAGTGCCCGGCCCAGGGTGCTCTGACTCAGCACTAAGACCCCATCCTCCTCCTGGGGGGGGTCCTCCGGCGGGGGCTCCTCCTGGCCCCGCAGGTTCGGGGCCCAGAGCAGCAGCAGCACGAGCAGCAGCCAAGGCAGGGGCCTGCTGTCCATAGTGGTGCCGGGGCCCTGGGGCAGGGGCAGATAAGGGACCCAGGGGCCAAACAGCAGCTGCTACGTGGCACCCAGGTCGGGCACCTGGAGATAAACACCCCCCTCCCGCCCTGGGGAGGGTAGGTAGACAGACGGGACACCAGAGGCAGGGACGCAGGTGACGTTTAATGAAGGTTGGGGCACTGTGCCAGGCCCAAGGAGGGGGTGTCCCAGACCAGGGCAGGAGGGCGGGGTCCGGCCACAGAGGCCTGGGGAAGGCTCCCGACTGAGGTGGGGGCGACAACCAGGGCGCTCAGCTCCTCCAGTCCTGGCTGAGGCGGAGCCCCCACTCCCAGGACATGTGCTCATTCCTGTCGTCATCCGTGAAGAAGGACCTGACCACATAGGCGCCTCGCACCAGGGCACCCCGGGGCGCTGCCTCCATCGCAGTGGTGAACTCGTACTCACGGGCGCTCGGGCCATAGCTGCCCACCATGTGCACAGTTTTATCCACTGGGGGAGAGGCAGGATCAGGGCCCTGTCCTGCTCACACCCCAACGCCCTGCACCCCCTCACTCCACCCCTGTACCCCATATTCCTGAATTCCATACCCCTGCATCTCTTCACCTCATGCCCTGCACCCCTTCACCCCACACCCTTGCACCCCCACACCGCTGCATCAAACTCTCCTGAACCCCTTCACCCCACACCCATGCACCCCTTCACCCTGCACCCCTGTGGCTCACCACGCAGGCCCTGGCGGTAGATGTGGTGCAGACACTTGAGGCCGCTAACAATCTCCCTGTTGACCTGAGGGACAGGAGAGTCAGGGCCCCTTGGGGTAGGGCTGGGCAGGGCTGTCCCTCCCCTCCCACCCCCATAGCGGTGCCTCACCTTGAAGGCTATGGTCACTCTGTAGTCCACGCCCTCCTTGAGCACAAACACCTGGGCTCTCAGTGCAGCTGGCCCCGCTGCGGAAAAAGCTGCGGCTCAGCTGCAGACCCAGCTGTGGCCAAGACCCGCCCCGTACCCCGGGGGCCGCGTGGGTGTTGGGGGGGTCCACGATCACCGGGGTCTGGCCGGAATCCTGGGGGAAGGGGCTCCCTGCGTTACCTGTGAGATCCATGATGATTGGCCCAGGGGCCTGCTCAGACACCAGCGTCAGCCTGGTCACCTGCACGTGAGGCTGGCCCACATCTGCGGGGAGCGGGGAGTCGGGCGGGCCGCCCCGGCCCAGCGTACCCCCAGACGCGCCCTGGCACGGCGCCCCCAGCCCCCGCCCCGCCCCGGCCGCGCCCAGCCCCGCGCACCGCCCCCTGCCGGCAGGGGCCCGAGGAGCGCCCGCTTGTAGGCGGCCAGGCTCTGGTCATCCCGGTCCAGCTGCTGGATCTCCTGGAGGCTCTTCCTCCCCGGGGCTCGGTACTCAGGCAGCGCCTCGTCCAGCGCCTCGTCCGCCAGCAGCTGCGCCCCCTCCTTGCTGCTCAGGAGGACTGGGGGGGAGACGGCGTCTGGGCCCTCACTGGCCACGGGCCACGCCGCAGCCCTCCCGACCTCGGGGACCCGGGGGTGGGGAGCCCGGACCCGGGGGTCCCCCGGGATCCCCAGAAGCCGGGCCCTCCCGCAGCCCCCAACTCTGCGGCCGCACGCCCGGGCGCCGCCCGCGCCCCGCGGCCCCGGGCAGCGCGGACGCGCCCGGCCGCTGCCCCCGCCCGGCGCCCGGCCCGGAGGGTCCCCGGGAGCCCCCGCCGCGCCCGCCGGCCCCGCCGCGCGAGCGGCCCCGCCCCCGCCGCGCGCCCCGCGAAGCCCCCCGCCCGCTCACCTCGGGCGCACAGCGCCAGCCGGAGCAGCTCGAGCAGCTGCGCGCCCAGCTCGCACGCGTCCAGGCCCAGCATGGTGGCGGCCCAGCCCCGGCGCGGCTGCGCTGAGCTCATCCCGCCGCGCCCCCCGCGCCGCGCCCGCGCCGCGCGCCCCCCGCCCGCGCCCCCCGCGCCGCCCGCCGCGCCCGCGCCGCTCGGGGGCCCGCGGGGCCGCCGCCCGCCCACGCGCCCGCGCGGGGAGGGGCCCCGGCCTCGGACCCCGCCGCGCCCGCGCCAGCCCGCGGACGGGGCCCGGAGTGGTCGCGGCCGGACCGCAGTCCCCCCGCTGCTCCTCTAGCTCCTCCCGGAGTCTTCCACGCACGCCTCCCCCTGGAGACGCCCCCAGCCTGCCGCAGGCTCTCCGACTCGCTGACCCACCTTTTGGGGGTGCGGGGGATGAAGTGGAAGTGGGGAGTTCCCCAGCCTTGGTTTCTGAGGGACAGTGAGGGGTGGTCTTTAAAAAATGTGTTAACTGATTTTTCAAACTTGGATCACCGTGAGATACAGTGTTCTAACCAGGGGTGGCCGTCAGGGAGGCACCCGAAGCGGTCAGAAGAGGCAGGGTTAACTCGGGGCGGGGCCGGGGAGGCAGGCCTGAACATCCTAGCTGGACCTCACAGCTGCACGTCCTGACCATGGCTGCTGACCCTCTGCCCCGCGGTACACAGATGCCCTATCTGAGCAAGGTGCGTCTGGGCTATCTGTCCATTCCCACACTGAGGCATGAGTGGACGCAGGTCCAGGGGTCCTGGCTTGCAGCTCTGATTTGCAGCAGGGGGCAGCTGGGCAGAGACCTGTCCCCTACCTCCCCCCGTGTATGAATCCCGTGATCCGATCTTAATCCCCTGAGCTGGGATCCAGGCAGAGAGAAGTGGAGGTGGGGGAGCTGGGGGCGCAGAGGCCCCTCACGGTCCCCCCACAGATGGAACGTCTGGTCCTGAGCATGCAGGATCCTGACCAAGGCCTGAAGATGCAGAGCCAGCGCCTGCTTGTCACTGTGGTGCCCCACACTGTCACCGGTGAGGTTTGGGGGGTGGGGGGCGGAGGATGAAGTGGAAGTGGGGAGTCCCCCCTACCTTGGGTCTCTCATGCAGGCCGCGCGGTGGTGCAGTGGCTGGTCCAGAAGCATCTCATGGCAGAGGCAGGTAAGGATTGGCCCTGCCACCTGCACGGGCCAGGCCTGGCCAGTTTCTTGATGTGGACTGGGGCAGCTGGCTGAGCCCGCCCTTGCCCCCACAGAGGCCCTGCACCTGGGCTCCCTCCTGCTGCGCCATGGCTACCTGTACTCACTGTGTCCACGCTGCAGTCCCCTGCTTCACTCTGAGACGCTCTACAGGTTCCAGGTGGGGCCCCCCTGACCCACTCCCAAGGCTAGGGTGGAAACCACCATCAAAAACCAAGGGGCGAATTTGGGTTTCTCTGGAGCCACTCCAGGGCTCCCCCTCTTGTGGCTTCCCAGGAGCCCTTAGGTACCAGCCCCCCAAATAAGAAGGCTGTGGGGTAGGAGGGGTAGAGGGTGGGATCTCTACGCCTCAGTCATTCCCTGTGGTTCCTGAGCCCTGTCTGGCCTGCCCCTAGCTTCTGCCTCCAGCAGGACCGTCATCGGGAGGAGGGGCTCAGGGATTGGGCTCACGGGGGGCCTTCCAGATAGACAGACAGGTTAGTGGTCCCGGAGCCTGGATGATGCCCTCAGCCACTCCAGCCTTCTGCCAAGGGAGCAGAGAGGCAGGGAAGGCTGGGGGTCCGGATACCATATCTGTGCACCTATATCAGACACCCTATTTCTGGACAAACACCGTGAGGCCGGTGGCTGATCTGGACTATGGTGAGCAGGGAGCAGCCGGTCCCTGACTGGGGGTTCTGGCCACGCCCGGGGCTGGGCCAGGTGGGCCACTGCAGGTTTGGACCTTCCTTGCAGCCATCTATCTGGCCAAGAAGAGCATCCAGAAACGGGGTGCCCTGCTCAGCCACGAGAAGGTGGGAGCCCGCTGGTGGGGCATGGGGCCTGGGCTGTGCGGTGAAAGAGCCCACATGAGCCCTCCCCTGCAGGACGACCATGACCAGCTGCACAGGAGGCTCGGCTATCTATGGGACCTGGTGGGCTCACAGGCCCGGGAGCAGCTGCGGTGAGACCCTCGGTCAACCTGCCTCAGGAGGGGTGGTGGGCGCAGTGTCCTCCAACTCTGCTTCTGCAGGGCCGCTGGGCGCCGAAGGAAGGCAGACAGGCTGGTGGTCACGTGCCAGGAGCAGGCCTTCTGGCTGGTGGTCAGGCCCCCGGTGAGCCCCGGGCCCAGAGCCCCTCCCCCACTCTGGGCCCCTGCCAGTGCCTTTCAGGGTATCTGTAGGGTGTGGGACCTCAAGGTCCCAAGTTTTCAAGGTAGTTTATCTCAGGGCCTCAGGTGGACACACCTGCTCCCACCCCTACCCCCATACCCGCCAGGGACAGCAGGAGGGCCTGAGGTCAGGCCAAGCGTTTCTGGAGGTGCTGTGGCCTAGACGTGCTTTGAGGGGGTCCCCCAGCACATGGCCCCGGGGTATATTCAGATTGCCACAGATCCATCAAGAAGCTCCCGAGGGAAGAATGCCAAGGAGCAGAAGCAGCACCCGTGGGTCCATTAGTCACACTGGGAAAGGGTGGGTGGGAGGAGGCCCTGCGGGCTGAGAACAGGGTCAGGGGGGCAGCAGGTGGGATGAGGGGACTCAAAGACCTGGAGTGACCAGAAGTCGCAGACAGACAGGGTCTGCCTGCATGTGCATGGCTGCATTCTGTGCCTGTGTCTGCATGTGCATATCCGCATGTCTGTGGGGTGAGTGCATGTGTCTGCATGTGCCGTCATGTGCATGTGTGCACCATGCACCTGAAAGTGTGTATGTGTGAGGCGGGGCTCAGTGGGGGCCTGATGGTTCAGGTTCTGCTGTGAGCAGGTGGGCCTGGCTGGGGCAGGAGGGGGAAGCAGGTGGCTGGACAGGGGACCCAAGAGGCTGAGGTGGGGCAGGAGATGCAGGCTGTGCGACTCCACGTCTGAGCCAGGCTGGTCTCTATGTCAAGTGGGAGATGGGCCCCGCCCTTGCACTTCCTCCTACAGCCCGGGATCCCGAATGTGCTGGAGCAGGGCCCAGAGCGGGGCCAACGCAGCAGGCCTATGTGGATGGTGAGGTCCAGCCCCACCCTCTCCCCTGTGGCCCCCACCCCCCGCCCCTGCAGCTCCCAGCCTTCACCCTCAGGTAAGGAACAGGGCACCCACCTGAGAGGGAGCAGCTTCCAGTGAGCCTTTACCCAGGGGTCGGGTTGGCAGAGAGCAGAGACTGGGGCCTTGGGTTGGATACTCTTCTGGGTGCCACGCCAGGCAACACTGTGGAAGTTCTTTCGTTTGTTTGGGGACCCCACCCAGCCGGTGCTCAATGTTTGCACCTGGCAGTGCTCAGGGGACCATATTGGATGCTGGGAATCGAACCCAGGTCAGCTATATGGAAGGCGAATGCTCTTCCCACTGTGCTACGGCTCTGGCCCAGGAGAGTCATTTTAAATATCATGCATTAAAAATAGGAGTCAGTCTCACTTGAGGGACTGAGGAAGCGCCAGGGAAATCCCAGAATCGGAGGGCTCCGTGGAATACTGAAACCTTCAGGCTAGAGGTTCCCAGAAGCTTCCTGGGAAATCAGCCCCGGCCGCTGGGATGTGACCAGGTCACAGCACAGGGTCCCCTGACTGTTGCCTCTGCCCTTGCAGATTGAGACTGTGGATTTCTACAAGCAGGAGGTAGGTGGGGCTGAGGACGGTGGGGCTAGTCACCTGCCTGGCACCTCACTGACTTCCTCTTAGATCCAGCACCTCAGAAGAGCCCTGGGCCAGGTCCACGTGAAGTCCTCCATCTGCCTCGAGGCGTGAGTGGGACCCCAGCCCTGCCCTGGCTCCTGGGCTCCCTCTCTGCTCGCAGGCCCACAGCCCCTCCCTGCACCCCTAGGTTCCTGCGCTTTAGCTGCCAGCATGGACCGCATGACCCCGTCCTGTCAGGGTGCCTGCCCAGCAACCCCTGGATCACAGGGGATACCACCTACTGGGCCATGAATGCACCCAGGTGAGCCCCGGGGTGGGCAAGGCAGGGTTGCACCTCTGTGCCCGCCTGCCTCCCCACTGACCAGCCCTAGCCACCGCCTCCGCTAGGGTGCCTGTTCCCACTAAGCTCCGCGTGCAGCGCTGGGCCTTCAGCTTCTGGGAGCTCCTGGGGGACCCCATGGGCCGGGCCTGCTTCATGGACTTCCTCCAGACAGAGTTCAGTGGTGAGTAGCCCCCAGAGCCCCCCTCCTCCACTGCCCAGCAGCAGCCGGGCAGCTGAGCCTGACTGTGCCTGGACCCCCAGCCGAGAACCTCAGCTTCTGGGAGGCATGCGAGGAGCTGCGCCATGGCAGCCAGGCCCAGGTCCCTTCCCTGGTGGACACCGTATACCAGTGAGCCAAAGGGCGTGGGAGGCTGATGGGGACAGCCGGCAGAGCCAACGCTCACCAGCTGCCCACCACCACAGCCAGTTCCTGGCTCCTGGCGCTGCCCACTGGGTCAACATCGACAGCCGGACCCTGGAGCGGACCCTGGCGGGGCTGCAGCGGCCCCACCACCACGTGCTGGACGATGCGCAGCAGCATGTCTACCTGCTCATGAAGAAGGTGGGGTTGTGGGGAGGGGCAGGGCCTGGGGCGGAGCTGCCCCTCTAGTGGCCCCTTCGGCCCCAGCCTGGAAGCCCCTGTCCTCGTGCCCTTTATGCAAGGCTGAAGTCAGACCCTGGCCTGCTCGGGGCTCAGTGCCACAGAGCGTGGTGTCCCCGGCTGTGCCAGGGTCTGGAGGGCGTGTCCTCTGAGCTGATACTGCCCTGAAACTGACCTTTTCCTCATCTCATGTCCCATGGTCGCTGCCCTGTGTTCCTTTACAGTCCAGCGGTCACTTAGTGACCCCCACACCACACTGGCAGTGCCAGAAGCCCCTCCTGTTAGTCCAGCTCCGCCTTGCTCGTCTTTGGGGCTCTTTCTCTGCCTTACAAGCATGGGGAACAGCTGTCCTCCCGAAGTCCGGTCTGGCATCACATTTGTTCCAGCAAAGCCAGCCTCTCCCCCGCCTTCCACCTTCCTCTGCTTCTAGCTAACCATATCAATTTCCTATTTATTTACTGATGTTTTGGGATCACACCGGAGTGCTCAAGGGCTGTTCCTGGTTCTATGCTTGGGGGTCACATCCTGCAGAGCTCAGGGGACCACGTGGGGCCAGGATTGAGCCCAGGCTCCTGCATGCAAAGCATGCACACAGCCCAGTGGGCTCTCTCTGGTCCTGTTTTATTTTGTGGTGCCAGGGATTTAACCCAGGGTTTCCCACGTGAAAGGCAAGCGTTCTACTGCTGAACTACATCCCTGCCTCCTTTTATTTTTATTTATGACTTTTTGGGTCACATCCATCGATGCTCAGGGGTTACTCCTGAGGGGGCTCGGGGGACCATATGGGATGTCGGGGATCGAACCTGGGTCAGCCTCGTGCAAGGAAAATGCCCTACCCACTGTACTATCGCTCTGGCCCGCCCTTTTATTTTTAAGTAAAATGGTTTTATTTAGAGAAGTGTGAGGATGGAGGGTTACATGTCCAAGAGAGAACACAGACTTTTTCAGAGAGCAGGGGGAACACATCACAGTTTGAAACCCCAAGATGAGGAGTGGGACCCTTTATTTATCTTTTGGGCCACACCCAGTGATGTTCAGGGGTTCCTCCGGCTCCGCACTCAGGAATCACTCCAGGTGGTGCTGAAGATCAACCCAGATCAGCTGTGTGCAAGTACCCTGCTGTACTATCTCCTCAGTTCCTTTTATTACTTTTTAAAAGAAACACTAGTTGGCTACATATCCTGGCCAGAGTGCCTCCCCACCCCCGCACCCCAGGGCCTGAAGGGAAGAGAGTGGGGAGCTATTGAGGCCAGGCTGGACAATGGAAGACTGGACTCTGTCTTGCAGGACACCTACCCGAGGTTCCTCAAGTCTGAGTTGTACAAAACTCTGCTGGCAGATGCCGTGGTCCCCCCGGAGACAAAGAGGTGCGAGGCAGTTGCGGTGCCCAACTGTTTGGCCCCAGAGGAGACAGGCCCAGCTCAGGCTGCTGCTTTTTCACAGGGTGTTTCCAGTCCTGCCGAAGCTGCAACACTCCAGCCCCAGCCCGGCACCACCGGGTGGTGGTGGGGAGGCCTGAGGGGCCTGGAGTTCCCTGGTCACTGGCACCCAGAGGACCTGGCATAGTGGCCCACAGTCTGGGGCAGTGTTGGGTGCCCACGCCTGTCCTTCTCCCCAGAACCTTAGTTTAGTGGTGACTCCTGGGAGCAGGACCACAGGAGGCTTACTTGTGACGTGGTGGGATCCTGCCTCTGTCCCCACTGTCCCAGAAGGACCCTCTCCCCCCAGCTGCCACTGTGACCTGGTCCTGCACCTCAGGCCCTGCTGCAGCAGGCAGGTGGGGTTCTGGAGAAGGGCAGCTCCAGTTTCCTCCCCTGGCACAAAGGCAGAGCTGGTCCTCTGGGGTACAGCTTGGCCTGGCCTCGCACGAGCCCCAGCTGCTTCCCAGTGCTTCTGCCTCTGCATAGAAATAAAAGCTCCTCTGCTTCTGTGTGCTCCCATCCTCTGTGGCAACGGCACCTTGCACGTGCACAGACGTGCACACAGCACGCGCACACTGCACATGTATGCACAGCAGCACGCACGGAACACCTGATTCCGCCACCACCCATCACATGCACACCGTGCAGTGTCTACATGTGTGCATGTGTACATGTCTGTAAATGCGTGCCTGCATGAGTATCTGTGGCTGTGATGTGGTCCCTCTCCTCAGCTGCCCCCTGGACCATGCTGTTTCCCTCTGTGGTGCAGCCTGGACCCTGAAGTCCAGGGATTTCGCCTTTGGGATTGGTCACTGCAGCCTCTGGCCACTTCATGGGCTTTGTGAGAATGATCTGCTTTAGGCTTGTCCCTATGAAATGTTGCCGGGGAACTTGTGTGGGTTCTAAGTAGTTTTTTTTTTTTTTGCAGGGTAGGGGGCCATGTCCAGCAGGGCTCAGAGGGTATTCTGGGTTCTGTGCTCAGAAGTGAGCCCTGGTGGTGCTGGGGGACCCTATGCAGTGCCAGGGATCAAACTGGGTCGGCTGCGTGGGAGGCAGGTACCTTCCCCCAGAGCAGAATCACACACGGTCCCAGGCCCCCAGAGCCCCTGCTGAGCTGCCCTTGGACCCCCTTGCTGACCGCGGGTGTCTGGCTGTGTGGGGCTGAGTTCTCACAGGCAGGTGTGGCTCAGAGACCCGCCAGGGACCTGTGCCTACTCCACTGCCTTCCCAGCTCACCCCAGGCCAGGTGACGCCAGGGGGAGCAAACAGGAGACACAGGGCCGGCTTGGACGGTGCAGACACCTTTATTCCAGCAGCTGCAGTCCGGCCGTCCCGTCTGCCCCAGGGGACAGGGCACAGGGTGGCCTTGGGCGCAACAAGGCACAGCGGCGAGTTGTGCAGGGGCACAGATCAGGAGCTCTGAGCTCAGGACCTGAGGTCCTCTGTGGTCAATTCTTTGGGTACCAAGCAGCTCACCACACCCCATCCTGCTAGGGAGAGGCTCTCCCAAGCCCCCGCTCCCAGACTGGGTCCAGGGGCACTGCAGGCACACCCATGGCAACACCTCCGGTCCCAGCCAGCTGCCCCTGAGCCATTGGAGAGCTGTGGGTTAGCATGGGGGGGGGGGGAGAGGAGGAAGAGAGGGAAGAGGCGTAAGGAAGGGAGCAGTGGCAGGAGAAAGAGGAAGAGGAGGAAGGAGCAGGAGGGGGAAGAAGGCTCCCGGGTGCGAGGCAGGTGCGCGGAGGCTGAGGGGGTGGGGGGAGCCGGAGCAGCCGAGTCCAGCACAGAGCCTGGTGCGGAGCCAGAAGGCAGCAGGAGAGGAGAGGGAGAGACCCTCAGGGAGGGTCCCGCAGGCCACGGCACCAGGTCAGGCAAGAGTCAGTGCAGAGAGGGGACTGGGGCGGCCTCCCCGAGTTTAATTCTGCAGCTCACACATCCGCGGCCGTGTTGGCGTCTAGCTCTCGCGCCAGTAGCGCAGACGGGAAAACCGATCCTTGATGGCCTCCTCGCTGTCCTGCTCACCCTGGGCCAGGCGGACCACCCGGCTGGCGGAGACGAGGGCCCGGACCCCGTACTTGGTCACGGAGACCAGGCCCGAGGCTTCCGGGCTGGTGGGGCCGGTCAGGACCACACAGGCAGCGTGACGGCCGGGCTCCAGGAGGACGGCTGTGGGGACAGGGCTGTGAGGGCCCAGGCCGGGTGGGCAGAGCCCAGGCCCACGCCCAGACAACTCACCACGGAAGGCGATGATGGGAGCTGAGACGTTGGTCAGCTGCAGCAGGACGTTGGGCAGCATGGGGTGGAACATGTACAGGCCATGCTGGGCCTCCACGGGTTCCTGGGGCGAGGGACAAGGGCATGAGGCTGCTGGCCCGCAGCCTGTGCGTGGTGGGCACTCCTCACAGCCACCACCGAGCTCGGGGCCCTCTGCTAAGTCCCCCTGGTCTTTCCTGTGTCTGCCTTTCTGGCATCTTCCCTGGCCCCAGGGCTCCCACGGGGCTGGCAGTCTGAAGCTGTGTCCTGCATCTAGGTCTTGCCTGACACATGCCATCCCCCGTGCATGCGCCACTGCGCCACCAGTACCGTCTCATTGGTGCCAACAGGCCGGTGGAGGCCCCAGAAGAAGAAGGCGGAGCGGTGGTCTGCAGTCAGCAGGCTGGCCGAGTGCAGGTCTCCCGGCGAGCGGGGGAGCAGATGGCTCCACAGAACAGCTCCGGAACTGAGGTCCAGAAGCAGGATCTGGGGGAGGGGACAATGAGGGGCCAGAGGGCAGGGTTGGAGGGTGGTGTGTGTGTCCTCATCACTGCCCCGCAGCCCTGGCTGTGCACCTGTCTGTCAGTGCTGGTGCCATTCTCGATGACCACAGCCCAGGCATCTGGCTTGTAGTGGCCAAAGACAGGTTTCCTGGAGGAAGAGCAAACGGAGCCTGCTGGGGCTTTGGGGGACAGTGCGTGGCCACCCCTTAGCCGGTGTGGCTGAGGGGTGACCCTGGGCCCTCCAGGGTGAGGCAGCAGCACACAAGCCCCTGGCCACCCCCAGGGCTGCAGGGTGGGCTGGGATATTCCCTGCAGGAAGGCCTTGTACCTCAGGACCTGGCTGGCGTGGAAGATCCACCTGGGTGCCAGCTTCTGTCCGTCCAGCAGCACGCACGCCTCTGAGCCCACGAGTAGCAGGTCCTGGCCCGCTGTTTCGGGGACCTTCACCAGGTAGCGGATGGCCCCGGCGCTGGAAGAGCAAGCAGGCCACCGGTGCCTGTGTGAAGCCTGCAGGGGCCTGCCCAGCTTCCCTCTGCACCCCGTTGGGGCCAGGGGTCCAGAGCCCAACCGTACATGCTCGAGGCCCGGTGCCTGTACCTACCTGCGTAGCTGCAGGCTGTGTGCGCTGGCATTGAGGATGGCCTCCCACTCGGGGTCCCTCCTCAGCGGGCTCTCCCTTCCAATCACCTCCTCGGACAGGGCCTTCATGGAGGAGCCGCACAGGGACCCTCCTGCTCTGATACAGGTTCCCGTCACGGGGGTCTGGGGAGGCGCCCTGCCCCTCCTCTCTCCAGGCTGCCGAGCTCAGTCCCACCTCGCAGACTCACCGCAGGGGAAGAGGACATAGTGGGCATCGGCCCTGGTGACGTGTAGGGGGCCACCACTCATCCTATCCACACTGAGGCTGCCTGGCTGGCCAATCTGCTGTCCGGTGCTGCCCGAGTACATGTAGCCTTTGACCTGTGACAAGTGCGAGTGGAGCCTGGTCAGGCCTTGCTGGGCTCCAGGGCTTCCTGCTTGCTCTGAGGATCCGCCGTTAGGCCCCAGGAGTCGCGAAGCACAGGTGCCATGTTCTGCCACCTGCTCCCACCCCCGTCCCGTCCCAGGGCCCAGCCACGGGCAGGAGCAGTGACTGCTGTCCTCAAGGCACCCACTCTGTGCTGGTCTGCAGGGGTAGGTGGTCGCTCAGTCGCCCCCTGTGCCTGGGGAAGGGCAGTACCTCCGTTCCCTCCTGGGTGAGAACCAGCAAGTCCGGGGAGCCGTCGGCATCAATGTCGGGGACCCGCAGCAGCGCGCTCAGGATGGAGGCGTTCCTGGCTCTGCCTGGGAGGCTAGGGTGGCTCCACAGGGTCCCCCCTAGGGCAGGCACACATCAGCGCACACGGTTCCCATGGAAGGGACAAGCACCACTCCAGGGCCCAGAGCTGTCCTGACCTTCTCCAGGCCCATGTCCAGTCCCTGACAGCGCCTGAACAGTGGGTGGCCAGGCTGACTTCCTAGGAAAGGACTGACTGACACGCTGACTCCAGAGCAGCAAAGAGCCTGGAGTTCGGGTGTGCAACCTCCTCTGCATCTGCATGCATGCACACTCACCCCCACATGCACACCCACATCCATGCGCACACTCACCCCCCATACATGCACACGCACACATGGCCATGCACACTCACCCACACCTATGCATGCACAAACACTCATCCCCACACATGCAAGCACTCACCCCCCACACACACGTACACATTCACCCACACACACGCACACTCACCCCCATACATGGAAGCACTCACATTCACATGCATGTACTCACACTTGCAACTCACACACATGCACACTCACCCACACACCTTCAATTCATCCACACATAGCATGCACATACCTATGGATGCACTTTCATGCACATGCTCACACATGCACACACACATGCACACTCACACCTGCAACTCACACATACACCCACACCCACACCCACATGCTCACACAGCAACTTACCCACACATGTATGTGCTCACACACATATCTTCACATATGCAAACACACACATTTCTATACACATGCTCACACTTAACACAGAAACATACAAACATGTCATACAGACATGCATGTACTTACAAACACCCCACCCCACACAACTCAGACATGCACACACATGCTTACTAATAGACACATACACTCTCCCAGAAACACCCTCACACACTCTGAAACCCTCACAAGCCTGAGAGAGAGGGCCCATGACTCTGCAGTTTAAGGGACCTGAGCACTGGAGCTTGCCAGCAGCTCCTTGGCCAGACACCTTTTCATCCAAACCTTGTTTCAGTTGTTCTGATTTTGGTTCTTGGGCAATACCTGGCAGTTCTCAGGGCTTAATCCTGGCTCTGCACTCAGGGATCACTCCTGGTGGGGCTGGGGGACCCTATGTGGTGCCAGGAATTGAACCTGGTTGACTGCATGCGAGGGCAAGGGCCCTGCCTCTGTATCTCTCCAGCCACTCATCCAAAGGGCAGGGGCCACACCGGGGTGCTCAGGGGACCACCAGCAGAGCTGGGATTCAAACCACTGCTGTCGCAGCTATATTCAAGGCATCTGTCTTCTCTCCGAACTTGACCCTTCTTTTCTTGAGTGGTCCCCATCTGCTTGTGGTCCTCCCTCAGACACAAGCTAAGACTAGTGCCAGGTACACAATCCTTGCCCCTCTGGAAGGCCTGTGGCCAGCCCTGAGGCCCAGGGACGCTTGTCCAACTCCCCGTACTCAAAGCTCCCATACGTCCCTCCCAGTGCTGAGGGGCGTGAGCTTGCCCTACGACTGTAGAAGCTGCCAGCACCCCACAGGTCACCACAGCCATTTGTTTGGGCTCCCCAGCATGTCCAAGGCAGGATGCAGACAGGAGGCAGCAGGACACGCAGAAGCAGTGAGGTAGGCAGCACCCCACCCGGGCTGAATCTCCCTGGGGCCCAGAGCACCGCCTGAGCAGGCAAATGGGTAGAGCCCCACCCGTGAAGGCAGCACTCAAGCAGCCGACCTGTGGCGGAGTCCACGGCCATCAGGGAGCTGGATCTTCCCAGGAGAAAGCAGGCAGGGGCCGCCGCATGGGGTTCTGGAGGGGGGTCGGCGCAGTCCACGAGGGCCTTGTCCTGGGCTGCTGGCCTCTCCCAGAGTATGCTGCCATTGGCTCCTGACAGGGCGGCCACAAAAGTGCAGGGCGAGGCGAAGCCTGGGCAGAGGGTGAGCAGGCGGTGGGCGCTGGCGCTCCCACCCACAGCCTCTGCTGCCCCCGGCCCACCTCACAGGCTCTGGGGCCGTCCTTGGGGTGCAGAGGTCTGCGGCTGCCTCCAACTTAGGAGGGCGATGCCCATGCCTGTCCCCACCACAGACCAGGAAGGTCCTCATCGATCACCTTCCTCCAAGCAGAATCCGCTGGACGCGTTGCTGCTGTTTGTGCTCTTATAAAGAATGAGGATGTCTTGGATTCTGTCCCTGTTCACGTCCTGTATGCCCAGGAAGTCGTAGGTAACTGAGAAACAAAACCACAGGGGGCTCTTCAGTAAGGGATGCCACTGTGAGCAGGCCCCTTGCTGCATTTCCACACCAGTCCTGGCTCAGCCTGCTCAGGTGTCAACGCTCAGACTCCCACTCTCTGAAGTTCTCTCAGCGAGGGGTCAGATGGTGACCTGCCCTCTTTCAGGCCAAGCCCCAGGATAGTGGCACTGCTAGGCATGCCCTGGGACCCATCCCTGGTACCACACCACCTCCTAAGCACCGCCGGCCATGGCCCTGGAGACCCCACTGGATTGCTATGTGGCCCTGCAGGTCACCTGAGCCTGACTGAGGTGGCCTGGGGGGGCCCAATAAGAAGGGCCTGAGCAGTACTCCACCCCGGGGTCCTAGCATTGAGGTGCAGGCCCAGCTGGCCCTGAGCACTGCTTGAGAGCCCCCAAACAAAAACAAACAAGCAAAAAAAAAAAAAGAAAACCTCAGAATAATGGCAGTGGACTCTTACTTCATACACAAAATTAAATTTAAAAAGGGGTCAACATCTTAAAACTACAGGGGCCGGGAGATGGCTCAAAGGCCTGGGACACAGGTTTGGCCTGACATAAAAGCAGAAAGAGAACCTGGATTTTATCAAGCAGTGCACCCAAAGACACTGGGGCCAGGCCCCGAGGCAGTTGCAACACAGCACCTTGCGTATACTCACTCATACACGCACACACACACACAAACACACACTCACACTCTTGCATATATGCTCACACACTCGTGAACATACACACGCTCACATACTCATGCACTCACATTTACACACACACTCGCACACTTGTGTATACACATACATTCACTCATGCACACACACACACATACACACTCACACACACTCGTGCATCACACTCATTCGCTCACACAAAGCAAAGACAAACAGCAAACAATTCACCTCAGGGGAGAATCTGGGAGTCTGGGTAAACAGAACAAGTGGGGTCAGAGAGACAGCTCAGAGGGTTCAGTACAGGCCAGCAAGCATATGTGGGATGTTGGCACCATGTGGCTCACCCAGTGCTACCATGGGTAGCCCCAGTGGCTCTCTGCAAGGGTTATCTGCGCTGGAGAGTAGGGGCCTATGCACCCTGAGGGTGACCAAGCTCATGGTATAGAGAACAGACTGTGGGTACAGAGTGGAGGGGAGAGAAGGGGGCATAAGGCACAAACCCAGCTTAAAAATCAGTGAAAGTAACTGCCTGTTTGAACTTGAATTCCTCCTCATGGGGCTGGAGCGATAGTCCAGCGAGGAGGGTGTTTACCTTTCATGCCGCCGACCCAGGGTTGTTTCCTGAGCCCACCATGAGTGATCCCTGAGCAGAGAGCCAGGCGGAGGCCCTGAGCACCACCGGGTATGGCTCAAAAACAAACACATTGTCCTGGAAAGAGAAATGTCCTAACTACGGAAGGTGACCGGCGCTGATGTGGCGCCCCATGGAACCTGAGGCCTATGTCTGCAACACTGATGAGACGGAATCGTGGATTCAAAAGCAGAGACGAGCCAGGCAGGCAGTCAGAAGCAGGGCACGGGCTGAATCTCAACTCTAAAGCAGAGAGATGATGAAAGTGTGAAGTGAACTGAGAAACAGCAGGAACTGGCTGGCAGGGAGGGCACCGGAACCAGCAGACCAGCATCGAGCTGAGCCTCAGGAAAGCGAGACAAATCAGCAACACCACTCCCTGGGCCTGGTCCCCAACAGCCCTGCTCACTGCACCTCCCGGGGGGAGCCCCCGTGTGTCAAGAGGGGAGACCCGACGCTGCAAAATACAGAGACATTCAACCCAAGTTATTACATGGACAGGCCTCCACCTACATAAGTGAGCCATCACACAGGGAGGGTAATGGCAGGCCTCAGCTTCGGCCCAAAAGGCAGAGGGCACAGGGTCTGGGAGCTGGAGTGTGGCTCGGAGTTCTGACTCAGAATGAAACTTCTGAGAGTGAGGCCTGTGTACGCGCAGGAGCTGGAGGCTGAACTAAGGGCCCCACATGCCAAGGTTGAGCTCCACCTCTGAGCCCCCGCTGGTCTCAGAGGACCCAGGCAGGGACGAGTGCTACCAGCTCCGAGGATGTTTCCCCGCCACACAGCTGACGTGGCACCCCATGGAAACTGAGGCCGATGCATGTTTTGCAACAGTGAGAATGGCACTTTGGGGTGAGTATGATCTTCCAGTTAACAAGAAGCCACACCCTCTCCCAGGAAGCTGGCCGCCAAAGTCAGAGTCGGCCTGTGTGAAAGTCTCCCAGCACCTGGCAAGCCTGGGTCCCAGCAGTCGGTCGGCAGGGGCTGCTCAATTGGGGCCAGCTGGCACTCAGTGACACCACACTGTCCCACTCGAGGGAGCCAGGTATCTGGACACAGTCCTGAGTCAAAAGCACTCTCGCAGGCAGCTTTGGGAAGGTCTGTGTGCTGGGCATGGTCCAGTCCCACCAGCTGTGGCTCAGCCATCTCTGTTTGTTTGTTGGCCATACCTAGGAGGGCTTACTCCTGGCTCTGTACTCAGAGATCATTCATGGCAGGGCTCAGGGGACCATACGTGGTGCCAGGGATAGAACCTGGCACCAAAAGGCGAGTGCCCTCCCCACCATAGTATCGCTCTGAACCTCATTTCTATTTTAATTCAGGACAGTGACCAAGTAGGCGACCAGACTGTGCTGACCCCAGCCTCCATTTGTCAACAGTGGGAGGCCCCTCCACAGCTCACCCACCTTTTTGGGGGGTTACACCCTGGCAGTGCTCATGGAAGCATTTGGTCAGTGCTGGGGATTGAACCTTGGTCTCTTGCATACAAGGTCAGGGCTCAGTTCTTTTAGTACATCTCCCCAACCCAGTGCCCCACTCCTGGGGGGAATTCTGTCATTCCCCCCGAGTCCTAGGAGGGCGGTGGGCACCAGACCCCAGTGCAGCGTGTGCCCCAGGCTCTGGGCACAGGCTCACCTGCTTGGCTGAAGTTGATCCTCCACGTCCCCTGGGACGCAGACCGCTCTGGGCAGGGGACGATGAAGGAGACCACGAAGACTGTGAAGAGGCAGATGAAGAGAGAGAGGAAGAAGACCACCGTGCGGCAGCGGGACAGGTGGGACAGCTGTGGGGTGCCCTTCAGGGGGTCCTCCTTGCCCGCCGGGGTTCCCAGAGTCCCCTGCAACTTCCTGTCTTCTTTTTTCAAGGGGCGGATCTCAGCTTCCAAGTCCTTGTTCTCCATCATCTGTGCACATTCCCAAGGCCACGGGTCCCTGCGGGCAGAGGAGGGGCTGAGGAGGGCAGAGGGCCGCCTGTAGGCAGTACCAAGCCACCCCTCGGCCAGAAAGCGAAAGCAGGGAAGCTTGGGGTCACAGGGTCACTGGGAGGCAGGCAGGTGTGTGGGGCCAGTGGGCAGGAAGTGTTTTCCTGCAGGTCCTGCCTGCTGACGCTGTGTGGGCCCAGCCCAGGTTAAACATTCACTCGCCCTGGGCTCCAGGCACAGAGCCAGAGCGCAGCCAGAAGGGGGCCAGAAGCCCCCGCCGCTCTCCAGGGAGAGCCCAGCTCTGAGCGTCCAGCTGAGGTGGGCCCTAGGCCCAGCCTGGCCTCACTGTGGTGGGTGGGGGAGATAGCGCAGAGGGCTGCTTTTTGGGTCAGACTCTCATTTCCTAACTCTTAAGTGTTTCTGCGTAATTAACAAAAGGAACTTGTGAAGTCCGGGTGATGTACCCACTGGAACAGCTTTTATTTAAAGAAGGCAGGGAGGGGAAAGGGAAGCTGTCACTGAAGGCAGGGGCTTGCCCGTGGCCATGCGGGTGTGATGCCCAGCACCCCCTGGGTGGCCAGGGACCTGAAAGCACAAGGCTTGCACTGTGACACACCTCAGACTCTTGTACCGGACACTGAGCTTCTGGTCTAGCTGGTTGGCTATTGTCAGAAGGGGTTCCCAGGTCTCCCTGGGAGGTGCCCTCCCCCACCAAGTCAAGCCACAGGTCTGGAAGGGCACCCACCTTGGCAGTATCTGGCTGAGTGGCCCCAGTACCATCCGGGGCACTACTGCTAGGGTCCCTAACACCTAACACCACAGTCAAGCGTGCAGCCCCAAGACAAGAAAACCATGACAAAGGGCAGGGGGACACACAGAATTCCTAGAGGACCCAGGAGCAGGAGTGATGGCACAGCGGGCAGAATGCTGGCTTTGAATGTGACCAACCCAGATTTGATCCCTGGCAACCCATATGGTGCCCTGAACCCACCAGGAGTGATCCCTGAGCACAGAGCCAGGAGTGAGCCCTAAGCACCGCCCCGTATGGCTCTCAACAAAACAAAACAAGACTTCCTAGAGGATCCAGCACTTCCAAGCCAGGTCGAGGCCCAAGAGAACCGGAAAGAGGGTTGACTGACCCCAAAACACACAAAAGCTGCTGACAGCTTCATTTCTCTCAACCACCCACATGTCAGCATCACAGGCGCAGAACGGGGCTCGTGAGCACAGCAGAGGATGGCTTTACCTAGAAGCCCAACACCCCCTAGTACAGATATACCCCGAAAACAAGCTGCTTACTACAACTCAGACCCAAAGGCACACAGCCCCAACATCCTGAATGTCAGGAGGAGCAGCAAGCCTCAGGCAGGGCAGTGACCAGTGGGGGAGGGTGGTCTAACAGCGGGAATGCAGGAGCTGCCCTGCATGGTGTTTCACACTGTGTGTATTTTACAATTAAATGTAAAAAAAAAAAAAAAAAACCACCTCTGTGAACCTTCCTCAGCACTGAGACGTGAGTTTTCACATTCTGAAAGTCAGAGAGGGCAAACCTGGTCGTGATGGAACAGTCAGCAGAGCATGGAACACGGGCTCAGAGCAGGCCCTTCTACCCTGGGCCTAGTGGGGGCAAGGGAAGGGTCTGAGCCTCCCAGGAGTGACCCCCCAGGGAAGGAAGTGGACACTCGAAGACAGCAGTGAGAAGCAGCCAGCTGTGCTCTGCACCACAGTGGCACTTGTGTCTCCTTGCCCAGGAGCCCGTGTCCGCCCACCCATGCCCCCCTAGCTCGGGACCTGCCTGAGGCAGGAGTGGCTAAGGTCAGGACCAGAGGGTGGTGCAAAATGGCTTCTTTACTGGTGTTGGGGTTATCTCGGGAGGAGATGTTCAGAGACCGGGGGCTCCACCAGCAATTCTTGGATGGCGGTGCCGGAGGACATGATGCTTTCTGAGTGTGTGACGAATTCCACTGGGGTTGGGCGAGCACCTGAACTAAGCTCTGTGCTCTCTCTCTCCACTTCCTCCTTCACATTGGTTGACTTTTTAGGCCACAGCTGGTGGTGCTCAGGGATTACTTTTGGCTTTGGGCTCAGGATTACTCCTGGGCGTGCCCAGTGAACCATATGGAGGGTCAGGGATCAAGCCCAGGTCCACTTCCCCACTGTCCTCTCTCTAGCTCCCGCCCCTCCCCCTTTATACTTTCAGGCTAGCAATAAATGAGCTTTAATTTTTTTGTTTGTGACATCTGGCAATGCTCAGGGGTTATTTCTGGCTCTGTACTCAAGAATAACCCCTGGTGATACTCAGGGGACAATATGGGATGCCAGGGACTCAAACCCAGTCCAGTCATGTGCCAGGCAAGCGGCCTATCTACTGTACTACTGCTCCGGCTCCTGTTTCAACATTTTTAAATTTTATTTGCTTTTTGGGTCACACCCAGAGGTTGCTCCTGGCTTTGCACTCAGGAATTACTCCCGGTGGTGCTTGGGGGACCATATGGGATGCTGGGGATTGAACCCGGGTCAGCCGTGTGCAAGGCAGATGCCCTACCTGCTGTGCTATCACTCCAGCCCCTCAACAGGTTTTGAAAGTAGAAAAGTTTATTGGAAAGTAGAAGAGAAAGGAAAGTAGGGAGGTACTCAAAATAGGAGTAAGTTCTGTTTCAACTCTTTAAAGGGTACAAATTTAATTGCTTCTTCCTCTGGGTAGGCTGGAGCCATAGCACAGTGGGTAGGGTGTTTGCCTTGCATGCGGCCAACCTGGGTTCGATTCTTCTGCCCCTCTCGGAGAGACCGGCAAGCTACTGTGAGTATCCCGCCTGCATGGCAAAGCCTGGCAAGCTACCTGTGACGTATTCGATAAGCCAAAAACAGTAACAAGTCTCGCAATTGAGATGTTACTGGGTGCACTCGAGCAAATTGATGAACAGGACAGTGCTACAGTGCTACGGTGCTTCCTCTGGGGCTCTAAGGATTGTGAGGAAATTCGGTGCTAACTCCTTGTAGGTCCCCAGATACTCTGTGCTGAAGAGCTTGCTCTGAAGAGCCACATCATCTGATTTTGCAAAAGGAAAGTGAGCCAGCACCATTCTTGCACTGTTGTGTTACTGACAGGTGTTGCGGCAGGCCCCTGTTTGCTGACCTGCTTTCCTCTGGTGGCTGCCTGGGAAAGACATTCCCCTGCCCTGCAGCCCTGTCAGCTGCAGAAGTAGGCAGGCTCCAAATGACTAGGGTCCACAGTGAGGAATCAAGCTGGCTTGATTCCTGGCAGTGCTATGGTAGGGAGGCAGGGAGACAGGGACTCACATTCAGGGTGCCGTCACTTCAACTATCTTCCCAACCCTAAGGATAAAATGTGGATTATGACCTATTCCACCACACACACACACACACACACACACACACACACACACACACAATATGGGGATGCAGCTGCAGTTTAGACTGAGGTGAGGCTCTCTCTGGGTTCACACGTGGGGCCAGAGGGGCGGTACAGAGGGTAAGGTGATTGGCTGCAGGCCCAGGTACAGTCTCTCTCCACACTCCCCGAGCATCACTAGGAGTGATACATGAGCGGTAACCAGGAGTAAGTCCTGAACACCGCTGGGTGTGGACCAAAACCAAACAAAAGTGGCTGGGATAATGGGATTTCAGGCAACCTCAATTTTTTAAATTTTCCCTGCAGCACTCCAGAGGCTCTGCATCAGGACCAATGGCAGTTTAGCAAAAGGTCAAAGTGCAGACCCCTGGGATGGGTGTAAATGTCTGAACTGTTCCCACTTCCTGCTGCGCTCCACTCTGTGGCACTTGTCCCCCTTACAGTGGAGTCCATGAGGCTTGTGTAATCTTTTTTTTTTTTCATCTTCTACAGGGTCAAAAATCATCAGAGATGACTGGAGAAGCAAAACAGGAGTTGGGGCTTCTGGAGACCAGGAGCCAGTTCTGCCGGTTCTTCGTCCATGAGTCCTACTCACAGGATTCCCAGGGAGACCTGAGAGACCCTTCTTCCTGCAGCCCTGGTCGTTCTCATGCCAGGGCCAGCAGGGCAGTGCGTTCTCCCGAGATTTTGGCCTAGAGATGGAACAGGGCATGGTTTTGTGAACATGAAATAAGCACGGCATGCAACTGGCTGAGAGCGTCTGGTCCCTGCCAAGTGGAGCCAAGGGTTTGAAGATGGCACAGTGCTCTGAGGATGCGGACTGGGCTATCACTGCATGTCACACACAGACATACTCCCCTTTCTTACTTCCATTAGTCCACTTCTTCGTGTGGCTGCAAAGACAGCGTATGTGAGGGACCCAGCATGTACTCTTCCATGCTGCCACGCCCCTGTACCTGTTAAGTCGTCCCTGCAGTGCTAAACCAGGGGGGATCAAGTGAGGGCCTCACACACGCTGGGCCCGTGCCTTGTCACTTGAGCTGTATTCCTGACTCTCAAATTTCTTTTTATTTTGGAACCCAAACTTTGTAATATTTCTCCAACCCATTTTTTAAAAGTGAAACAAGGTAGTCTTTATAGAACTAAACTTGCTTAGCAAGATGTGAGAGGAGGGCCAGAGTGACAATACAGTGGGTAAGATGTTTGCCTTGCATGCGGCTGACCCAAGCTCAATTTCCGGCATCCCATATGGTCCCCCAAAGCGCTGCCAGGAATAATGCCTGAGAGCTGAGCCAGGAGTAACCCGAGCATTGCTTGGAGTGGCTCTAAAACCAAAAGCAAAAAGAAAGATGTGAGAGGAGAGGCGCTAGAAAGTATTGCAGGTAGGGCGTTTGCCGTGCACCGGCCAACCGGGCTCCCCAGCACCCCATATGGTCCCGGGAGCACCCCCAGAGTAATTCCTGAGCAGAGAACCAAGAGTAACCCCTAAGCATCACCAGGTGTGGGCCAAAAACCAAAACTAAGACCAAAACAAACAAAAAGATGTGAGAAGCAAGAGGGGAAATTTGAGTGAGAGAGAGAGAGAGAGAGAGAGAGAGAGAGAGAGAGAGAGAGAGAGAACACAGGATTCTGCAGAG